TAGGCAAAAGCAGAGCCAAACTCTTAAACTCTTAAACTGGTGAGAAGCTCTTCTGCCAAATGTTTTTATCTCACTTCACAACAACTGAACCAAATTATACACATTTCTTCAGACTCAACAGATACAACACAACAGACACAGAGTCTGGTTTCATTCAAACAATGGAAAACATCTTTCTGTGTAGAAAAGCAAATATTCCCTCACAGTGCTCCAGTCCTGTTCAAAAAAATGGTACAGACAAAAACCCTAACAAGCACAACTGTGACGCAGTACTAGTTTTCCACATGCATGGATATGTTTGCTTCTCCTCAACTAATGGCAGTCACCTAACTAGGCAAATAGCAGAGCAAATATATCATTCCTAGGAAGCAATCATACAAATTCATTTACAGAATATATTCTTTGGAAGAGATATTTGCAGAGTCTGGGGCAGCAGGTGACATGGCAATACTTCCTCAGTTACCCAATTATAATAATTGCCACTTCCTTTGTGCATCATAGGCCTGTCCAACAGGCAACTAGAATGCATGACCTGGCTGAGGGAGGCTGGGACGGCCTATAAAAACAGATAGGCTAATTTGTATCGTGGTCATTGGCATCCTTAAATGCCATTCACCTATAGTTCTGACAGGCAGCGAAAGCACATATATACTATACTTTCTGGGTTATAGGAGTACATTACTGCTAAGTCTACTCAGACCTTACAAAAACACACATAAAGATATTAAATAAATGTTATTTTATTCTGAATGTATATTTGCAATTAGATGCTCTTCATTTTTCCTGATGTATTTCTTTCAGGATCTTCTTCTTCTTTATTTCCTCTTTTACCACTTTGGGTGTCAAGGGATCTTTCAGAACCACTATAATTATTTCATAATCCATAAAAAAATATGGACCTACTTCCATTTTTCTAGAAATGGTTTATTTCAAGGAAACCACGGATTATATATTCCAGTGCTGTTGGTAATTTTAAAAAAGTTAAATTTCTCATCTGTTAAAGTATGGTAGTTCTAAATTAATTCAAAACTTTTCTTAGAAATGTTATCTTAACGTTTTCAACAGATGAGTAAACAGAAAAAACAATGGCAGAGAATTTAGCACTTAAGGTAAGAGCAGCAGGCAGGAATAGCTTTATTTGGTATTTCACAAATTACGGTACTATTTCTACTGTATAAAACATCTCCTCCTGAAGCTGATATCAGCTAATAGGGAATATAAGATTAACATTTTTACAAGCAAACATGTACTACCATGTTTGCATTTTGCAAAGAATCCAACTACTATATATATCTTAACATAAATAGGAGAAAACACATGATGCATAAATAAACCCTTTAGCAAACCAGGATTAAAGAATGTGGGTGGCAATCTTGCAGCTGGAAAAAAAAGGTTTCTAGGATAAACACAACTAATTTCATCAGGATTTATTTCCATCAGGATGAGAGATAAGTAACCTAGATTACAATACTTCTGGTTGGGAAAAGATCTGCAATTAAAATGAATATCCTCCTTAGATTGAGATAGCAGTTCCAAGAGTTATCAAATGACATCCCGGAAAATGATAAAGTATAGTGAAAAAAAATCACACATATGGAAGCAAAAAAACACAGCACAGAAGTCTGCTATCTATAAACATAAGGATGCTATCGTGCCTAATTTAAAATGGCCTTTTAAAATGATAGACAATGAGCATAATTATGACAAGAAATGTGTTACAGAACTTGTAAAAGTACTGTCACTGTTAAATTTAAAGCTAAACTAGGCAAAGAATAAAATATTGAATCTATTTTGTTTGATCATAAACAATGTGATTCAGCAGGTCTCTACTGATTAAGGGGTCTGTATAGTAAAGGACAATCCCAAACAGGGAAGCAGTTAATTAAAGATCTAAAACAAGCTATTGTAATTTTAATGTCTTTACCTAATAACATGAATATATTTTATTTCTAACTCCAGGGTTAAATCAAAGGTAAAAAAGACAATTAATTATCACACAGAAATTAATTTTACAACATGATAAAAACGCAAAAGTTTTGGTCTCAAAGATCTATAAGTATATAAATTCCTAGCATTAGAAATATTTGGGAGAATAATATTGGAACCTATTGATGAAACTATTTGAACAGTTGACTGTATATTTCATCAAAAAAACCCTACCAAAACTGTATCTGCCAAAAACAGAATATATCTCAAAATAATTCATAGTTAGTGTTCTCCCTGCCCTTCCTCTCAGTGAGATTGTAATGCATCTATAAAAAGGTATAATTTATGTCAGTGGAGAAACTGATAGGTTGGTGCTTATTTTCATATATGGTAGCAAAGCTTATTCATTTAAAAAGAATATCTATCTATATAACTATATCTACATCTATCTATCCATCTATCTCTCTATTTATCTATTTTGCAGGATTATTCAGAAAGAGATATCCCCTTCCCCTATATTGACTCTATTATCACCATATAATACCTTGTATATAGAAGCATGAAATAAAGAGCTATTGTCTCCTGTCAAGCTATATTGTAGTTTATTTATGAAGAATGAAGCACCAAGAGACTATGGAATGTAGCCTTAGCTGAAAATGTAATCAAGTAGAGAGGTTAAGCAGAAATATTAATTACAGAAATAATTTTTCTTCAATATGATCTAGGTTTCTGGTACATATTAAGCAAGAAGCTGAGACTATCCAAACCTTCAGTTTTTTGGATAATCATGAACAAGTGGCAAGTTGTAGCAAAGAGTAACTACTTGTACAATTATATATCAATAGTTGTGTTATTTTACACAATTATTGTTTGTGTGTGTGTGTGTGTGTTTGTATAGTTGTGTCTTTAACAAAATAAAATTTAAAAAGATAAATTGCAAACACCTCAGTAAATCTATTCAAAACTATTGCAGGATGGTTTCATTAAAAGTTTGGCTAACATTGGTTTTTAAAGCTCAGTTGTTTCAGTGAGCATCAATAGCATTTGTATTCTATTTTCCAGCAAAAAATATATATTCTTTTTAATGATCATGGGTTGAAGCCCACGCAAGGCATACTCAGACCCACCAAATCAACTCAAATTGAGCTGTTTATCCCCCATTAATATCCATAGATCTTCTCCATATATGACAAAAGTTCAGCTGCCTATTCTGTTTGCTGCACTATGAACCTGCCCCCATTACTATAATCTCCATCTTGTGGTCAACCTATTGCTAAGGCAGGATGAAGCTGATTTAAGGTGCTTTTGAAGAATGGAAGCATCTTCCTAGCAACTGCAAAGACTTTTCACATGGACAATCCATGGCACTTGCAAGATGGGCCTCCAGAGGTCAGCGATCTGCTGGTTCCAGGTGGACCAGCCTCTCCCATCAAACTACTGGGCTCTGTGCCTGCAGCTCCATTTATGCTTGGCTGCCAAAGAGACCAGACACTTCCCTTGCACAGCTATTTTCTTTTTTCCCCTTAAGTTCAAACACAGCAATATCAATATAATGTAAAATCAAATGCAGATCTACAGGGAGATTGGTATTCCCATTGACAAATAGAAATACTGTAATCCTAAAAATCCTACCGTAATCCTAAAAGGCAGAAACATCTGAAACTGACCAATGAAATTAACTGAACATCAAGCACCAGGCCAACGCAAGATAGGATGAGATATTATAAATCAGCTGGAGCTTTGGTGTTACTTAAAAAGGGTCAGATCAAGGTTCAAAAATAAACCAACAATTCAATAAAGATTTTAGATAACCCCAACCCCCAGTAGACCCCAGTAAAAGAGAAGAAACTGTTCTAGCAACAGCACCTTCTCATTTGAGATTGGCCAGAGGTGAGCAACACTATGGGTCTTGTTGCTGAGGCATGGTTAAAAAGTAGACTTGTGTGGGCAAGCATTTAAAATTAGTAACCCAAGCCTAAAATTAAGCTAGTCTTTGTAACAGCTCCTGGATGACTAGCACTCTACAAGAAAGGTGTGATCTGTGTGAAATAGTTTTAACAACCATACGATTTAGGATTATTCTGGGAAGGTATCAAGTTGATCCTTTTAAATGTCTTGTCAATTCACAGATGAATCAGGAACCTATAATGTAATCCTCTATGTAAAAGGCCGTTACATGCCAAGAAAACAGATTAATGAAGAAAAAGCCTTGGCTCCGGGGCAAGAACTCCTGGGAACCCATTCCGCAAAACATAACCCTGGATTATGTCCTAGAAAAGAAAAGAAAAGAAAAGAAAAGAAAAAAAAGAAAAGAAAAGAAAAGAAAAGAAAAGAAAAGAAAAGAAAAGAAAAGAAAAGAAAAGAAAAGAAAAGAAAAGAAAAGAAAAGAAAAGAAAAGAAAAGAAAAGAAAAGAAAAGAAAAGAAAAGAAAAGAAAAGAAAAGAAAAGAAAAGAAAAGAAAAGAAAAGACAAAAGCTCCTGAACCTGCCAATAAACAATCACCTTCTCTTCCTCCTTTTTTATTAAATCCTGTGCGACTCACGCCCTCCAGTTTGCATCAGACAAATGCAGCTATCGGATCACACACCAGCGCCAGAGAAAGACATCAGCAGCATCCCTCCTACTACGAGACGTGCACAATCCGTGGTTGTTAAATATGTCCTCCCCACGGCATCGGCGGGCCGAGGCAAAGCAGAACCCGTCACGCGCCGGTCTCTTCTCCCTCCCCACCGCCCCAAGTTGTCCAAACAAAACCGAACAATGGGGTAAAAAAGCAGCCCCTTCTGAGCAGAAGCTCTCTTTCTTTCCCCCCCCCCCCACCTCCGCCCTCCTTCGTGTTTATTTGACAGCTCCTTGCAAAGCAGGCGAGGGAGAGGACGCGACGCTGAGCCGCCGCCGTTACCCCTCCCTGCCGCCCCTCACCCTCTTTGGCTGGGACTCTTGCTGCAGAGCTACCACCAGCCACCCACCCACCCCCGGCCGCCCCTCAGGGAAGCAGCGTTTGCAACCGAGAGCGCGGGAGGTAACCATCAGCAGCGGAAGGAGGACCCGTTTTGCAAGGACGCCCGTCTTACCCCGCTCGGACTAGAGGAGCCGCAGCTTCCTCAGCAAGCCTTGCGCAACATGCTGGACTGGCTCGTGGCCCTTTCGAGGTCCGAGGAGCTGCGGCTGCAACCTCACCTTCCCGTCGGATGTGGCTCTTCTTCGCACCCTACAGCAGCTTCTTCTGCTACTGCAGCAAGCCGGGCTCCCTAGCGCGCATACACCCAGGCAGCTATGACGCCATAATCCACCCAGGCTCCTCCTCCGCCTCCCGTTCTTCAGCGCTTGCGCCGCCCACCGCTTCTCTGCCCTCGGGGCCGCACTTCGCCCCCCTCCCTCCCCCCCCCCCGACCGCTCTCCCTGCAAATTCGGGGCCTGGGCTCGCGCGCCTCAGCTGCGGGGACCCGGATGAGCGCGAGGCGGCAGCCGAGAGAGGGCGAGATTTCGTAACTCCTGGCGAGCGCCATCTAGCGGTGGCCTTAGCTTTTACCGCGCAGCTGCTGTCGCCGCCCTACGTACCTCTCAGCATGTAATATTAAGGCCGATTTCCCCCCCCCCCCCGTTGAGGCACATTTTGAATGAATAGTGTGTAAGCACAGGAAATGCCTGCTCATATGAATCTGAGCACCATTATCAAGTTCTCAGTTTAGTTATATGTACTGTACTCTTTAAATCAAACTGCCCTAGTTTGATGATTTGATCACAAATCTTATTACGTTCCTTGATAAAGTGACAAAATTAGTGCACCAGAGAAATGCTGTGGATATAATTTACCTGGGACTTCAGTAAGGCATTTCATAAAGTAGACAACAACCTACTATATGATAAGATAGAAAAATGTGGGTTAGACGTCATCATCGCCAGATTAATGCTCCAACGCTGGAAGTTTTTAAGAAGAGATTGGATAACCATATTTATTCTATTCAGAATGGGCTAAAGCAGTATTTCTTGAACTTGGAAAATTTAAGACATGTGGTGTTCAATTCCCAGAATTCCCCAGTTAGTAGACATAGCTACCCAACAGAATATTTTGATTTTGCAATTCATTAGTTTCATTACTAATCTCCATGGTTTTCTTCCTCCTCTTCTTCTTTGCAGTCAGCAAATAGTTTTTACTAATCAATTTTCAAAAAACATAAAAACAAAAAGAAACAACTCATCATACACAAAATAAAGGGAAAAAGCACTGTAAAAGTTTCTCTCTTAACGTACCTAAGAATAGGCAATAATTATAGCTCTGCTGTGATGAGTTTAGGCTCCTTTCACTGAAAAGCTTCAAAATGGTTTTACAAATAAACAAACTGCATTTCAAATTTTGTGAGTCATTCTAGTGTTTCCTATTTCCTTAGAAGACTAAAAATGAGTACACAATGAAAATAAACATGGAAAAAAAATAAAGTTAAAAGGCATGTGTTGCTACTTTTGTACAATTTGTTTTGGAAGTAGCTAAATCCAGTCTAACAAACAGGATGGTTTATAATCGTCATCTCAGAAATTTCACACCCACACACCCACACATATAGAATACACAGTGCTTTTCAGAAATTGGAGCTAAGTATACAAATACATAGTACAATACCTGACCAGGAAATTGTGTAAATTGAATTATGTATCAATTATTTACAAAAATAGCAAAATTATGGAAAAATATAATTCATAAGTGACTTTGGATAAAAACATTTGCCAAAGATACTTCATGACATGAAGTATCATGTCATGAAGGGGGGATGCACAAAGAAAGCATCCCACCTTGAATCATTAAAATAACTGCATCTTTTTTCAGATTATTTATTAAATTTGTATGATGCTCAACTCAATAAGATCCATTCAGCTACTTCCAAAGCTGTTCCTGATCATCTTTCCACCTAGTCACTTCAAAATAATTTTTTCTGAATAACCTCTTTTAAATGCACAAAATTGAAAAAGTCTTTAAAATCAGTTGGTCGTTAGTTCCCCAGAAGATATTTTGAAAAAGGAAAATAATTCCTTTTAGTTCATATTAAGAATAATCAAGATTATGCATTAAATTGAAAATAATATTCATGCTATCAGTATGCAATAGGAAATCTCAAGTTGCGGTCATGTGATGTCACGGTTGAAAACCTGGCTGATTCACTTAGCAACAGCAGCAGAACAGACAGTATAAGCCTGGTGTGATGATGTGATGTTTCAGTGTACAACTGTGTTGCTCAGCAATGGAGATGCTGGTCCCACTTGTGGAGACCTATGACTGGTTTTCACACTTACGACCATTGCAGCATCTCTGTAGTCATGTGATCAAAATTCAGATGCTTGACAACTGGAATATATTTATGACAGTTGTACTTTCCTGAGGTCATGGAACCACCATTTGTAACCTTCCAGCCAGCTTCCGGCAAGCAAAGTCAATGGAGGGAACCAGATTCACTTTACAAGTGCAATGATTCACTTAACAACTGCAGCAAAAAGGTCATAAAATGGGGCACAACTAACTTAACAACTGTCTTGATTAGCAATGGAAATTTTGGGCTCCATTGTGATTGTATCTGTATGGGGAATGCTACATTTTTACTGCAGAGTCTTTTAACAAAAGGCAAACACGGGGAATCTAGTTCCAATACAGTATTTATTTATTGGCATACAGTACCTTGCCTTCTAGATAACAAAATAACAGAGTTGGAAGGGACCTTGGAGGTCTTCTAGACCAACCCCTTGCTCAAGAAATCCTATACTATTTCAAAAAAGTTGTTGTCCAAGTCTTAAAAATCTCATGTGTTGGAGCACCCACAACTTCTGGTAGCAAGTCCTTGGTCTCACGGTCAGGAAAATTTTTCTTAGTTATAGGTTAGTTCTCTCCTTGATTAGTTTTCATCCATTGCTTCTTGTCCTGCCTTCAGGTGCTTTGGAGAATAGGTTGACTCCCTCTTTGTAATGGCAACCCCTTAGATATTGGAACACTGCTATCGGCCCCCCTAGTCCGTTTTTTCATTAAACTAAACATACCCTATTCCTGCAATTGTTCTTCCTTTGTTTTAGTCTCCGGCCCCCTAATCATCTTTGCTGCTATTCTCTTGACTCTTTCTAGTGTCTTTTAACATCTTTTTTACATCGTGGTGACCAAAACTGGATGCAATATTCCAAGTGTGGTCATACTAAGGCTACTAACACTTCACGTGATTTTGATCTTGACATGTCAAACATTCAGAAAATGCCTAATTGATTCTGTTGGTATATTCCTCCCAACTCCCCAGAAAAAAATGAAAGGAGAAACAATTATTTACATATTCATTTATTTTTTTAAAAAATACAGTCTAATCACGTGTGATGCTATGTATCATATAAAGAAACATCAAATGATTATAAAAATGAAATACGAATAAAACAAACTCATTTTCTGAGAGTCTAATGGCACAAGAGCCTGGCCCTCTCACATGACTTCCAGCGAGTCCAAAGTTGTGCGAGAACACATCCTAGTCTTGCATGGCCTCCACAGTCTCCGAAAATCTCATGAGAACAGGCCATGCTTTTGAGAATAGTTCCTGGGTGTGGTGAACACTGGAGTGATATCCAAAATTTTACTGGAGGAGCATAGGCACTTCTTAGAAAACGGAAGAGATACCTTAGTAGTTGTGAGTAATGTGTTGTCAATTTCTACCATAGTTGGTGGCCTGTAATTTCATCACAGAAATCACATATAAAAAGTGATTAGAGTTTTAGGTATAAATAGCAAAATGATGGAGCGCAGGAAAAATATTCCTGTAGAATATTCATTCTAATAAGCAGCAATATGTTTTGGAGAAAAAGTAAAACCAGCTAGCCTTTTCCAATCTGCTATTCTTAAATATGTGTTGACACCTTAGCTTTAGACATTTCCACCTGAAGGCCACAAATTTTAACCATTTTCAAATGAGTTTTAGAACTTGCTTTCTGAAATTGCAGTGTTTGCAGAAAATGAGTTCTACCTCATTTGCTGAATCTGGAAATTCATGAATGTTTGTAGTATATACATTTATCTACTTCAGTGGATACCAGCTTGCATTATACTATATGACTCCACACTTCTTTTCCAGAACTAGAGCAATACTTTCTTATAAGAAAATGTCTAATTAATTTGGCATTTTTGCAGAATACTTGCTAAAAGACAAAAAAATATAAGTACAATAATACTACATATTGAAACATTAATATTATAAAATGAATTAACCTATACAATAATTCAGTTCCTTGAAAAATAATACCAAGGTTAAAGAGATCAGTTGAAATTAAAGATTTTATTTACAATATGATAGCCACAAAACTGCCAGACTTGATTTTCAATTCAGTACATCTAATATTCACAGTGCCAATCATTTCATGATATCACATCCAGGAATAGCTTCGAAGGAAACCCAGAGAATTCTGGTCTTTCAATCTGCCAAAAATATCCCCAAGATTGTTTCTTAAAATGCAGCTTCAATATCCTTTTATTCCTCTGAATCTTGTTCTGTTATCCAACTTTAAAGGAGAAAAATAAATATAAGTAAAAACGACTTTTTATTATATAAAACTTCCTATAACTAGTTGTTTTATTTTAAGAAACTTATACGAAAATATGGCAATATTTACCATATAGTCCAGATTGTATTTCCTGGAAGGAAATTTCCTGGGAGGAATTCTAAATGGGTAAAAATTTTCCCGAGTTTAAAATAGTTTAGACTAACTGAATACCCGTGCTCCGCTATGAAACTGTGATCGGGCTTGATAAATCAATACTTACAGCTTGAAAATTAATGAGTAGTTAGGATCGGCCTATCCTATCCCCTTCTCTCCCTCAGCCTTGCCCCAAAGAAGCCTCCCTTATCCTATGCCCTGGTTGCTGCTGTGAAAGTGAAAGTGAAATTCCTCTCCTCTGCTTGTGTTTTGCATTTGGAACAGATTTCTTTTCAGGTGGGGAGGGGGAGTAGAACTCCTTAGCATCAGAGGGCTGTCTGGAAAGTGAAACAGTATTTGCTGTGTGAGGAAGGAGACAGGAAGGAGCCTGGCCATGGCTTAGCTCAACTGTTCTGTAGTAAAGCTGCTTCCTGCTGTGAAAGTAAAACTGAAAATGAAACTCCTCTCCTCTGCTTGTATTTTGCATTTGGAACAGATTTCTTGTCAGGTGGGAAGGGGGAGTAGAACTCCTTAGCATCAGAGCCTGTTAATAATAATATAGGAAATACTATTGCTCTGATGGTCATTTCAAAAAATCCTTTCTTAGTGAGCATCTAAGAAGCCAAGAGGAACATATATGGCAAATTTCAAGTTTGTAGACTTTATGGTTCTGGAGATTTCATGATTACGGCGTGAATGGTTTTCGCTTTTATATATATAGATTAAAAGTAAATTCAACATTTTAAAAAATGCCAACAAAAGGAATATGTTCAGCAGTTATACAATAAGCACTTAAAGCTATTCAAATTTGAATAGCTTTTTTGGAAAGTCATGCTTGTAATCGTCTTCACATTCATGCATAGTTCATCGGATCTTCTACAGTATTTTTTTTTCAGAATTGTATGTTATAGAATTAAAATACAATCTGACTTCAAGTTCTTAGTGAGTGTTGTGATTCATATAGAGAAACAATAGTAAATCTATGTTGTCCAGGTTGGTAGGATGTAAAAAATAAATATTACTATCTTGAATCAGTCTTGTAAGCTCAAAAATAAACAAATGCACTTTTTTTTAGAACCCACTTGATATATTCCTGTCTTTGCTTTATCTGGGATGTCTAAAACTACTGTTGATTAAGAATGTCATAGCCTGTATATTACATGATTAATAAGCAAACATAATAGTTATATTCTCTGCAGCTATTTTTATGCTATTATGGTGTTTTTAAATTTTGGCTGTTTCATCTTGTATTTATTTTGTTTTAATTGTTAGTTGCTCAAAATCATGTATATGAGTTTGATAACAATATAAACTTATTAAATAACTAAAAATGTAGGCTGAAAAACTAAGAAAGGTTGCCTGTACTGATGGCTTTATATTCCATAGTGAAAGTCTGGGGGGGGTGGAGATCTTCTCTACCCACTCAGCCACCCCCAACGTAATAGACCCCAAGCTAAGCAGCAGAGCCAAGTTTTCAGGCTCTTCTGGAAGGCCAGATGTGTGGGAGGCAGACATCACTTCCAACAGGAGAATATTCCAGAGGCTCTTCTCCTGGACTCCACCAACTGAAATTCTTTGGCAGATGGGATCTGAAGTAGGCCCTTTCTGCTGGAACCAGTGGGTTGGGCTAGTCTTATTGGGGTAATATCCTGGCTCCATGCATAAAGGGCTTTAAAGGTGATGACCAATACCACGAATTAACAAGCAATAGAGGTTTCTCATTTTTTTTCCCTCCTAAGACAGTAATGTGTGACTCCACTCACATACCCAGGGATGGGCTGAGCTTCTGATGACTTCCACTGAGTTACAGAGAATAAAATTAGCAGGTTGCAATTCAGAACACAGGAAAAGGTCTTAAAAAAATAATCACCTTAGTCTGATGAAATATACATATATTGTCTGCTCTCTACAAGTACATTCCACTTTGCAGTGAGGAGGTAGTGATTTATGTAAATCAAAAAAGCAAGCTCAGCAGCAGCCTCTCACATTTTTGCATTTTTCTCAAGGGATTCCTCTTACAAACTTACCAATGATCTTCTGCATTCAAACATGGAAATTAGCAAACTTCTGCAATGTCCTTCCTTCAAGCATTGTTTGGCGCTCTTCCCTTCCTGATATAAAAGATACCCAGATAAAAGATTCAATATATTCACTTAGGTGTTAGCAAAAATTTATATTATACATCATCTTTCACAATATTTTTTTCCAACATAAGCAAAAGCAAAGAATGACCAAAAAGTAAAACTTGCTAAAAAAAAAAAATCATTGCAATGCAAAAAAAATCTTCATTGCATTGAAGAACAAAACAGTCTTCATATACCGTGTTTCCCCGAAAATAAGACAGGGTCTTATTTTCTTTTGACCCTCCCCCAAATAAGGACTTGGCCTTATCAGGGGGTCTTATTATTTTGGGGGTGCAGGAGGCGGCGAGCGTGGGACTGGATGTCCTGTCGCTGCGGTCACCTCCCGTGTTCTTCATGCCAGCCAAGCGGCGCAACACGTTCCACCCCACCCCAATGGCAACAGCTGCTTCCCTTCCCTGCCGTCTCTTTATCGAGAGGGGTGGCAGGTGGGGTGGGGGACAAGCGAGACGGGTGAAGCGAGACATGGTTCCCCTTGCTGTTTCTTTTCCCCCCCTCTCCGGGCATGACAGGGCTCCTGCCCTTCGCTTAGCCCCCTTTAGGGATGCAATTTGGGAGTGGCAGGTAGGGCGGATGAGAAGCAGGACATGCATCTTATCTTTCCAGCTCCTTCACATTCCTTGCCGTTGTGTCCAGGGAAACACACTGTAAAAGAAAACCTTCTCAGGAGTTTCACAGTGTGTTTCCCTGGACACAATGGCAAGGAAAGTGACGGAATTTGAAAGGTAAGAGCGAGCCACGTCTCGCTCCATGCGTCTTGCTTCTCCCCCGCCCCACCTGCCACCCCTTTCAATAAAGAGATGGCGGGAAAGGGAAGCAGCCAGGCTGCTGTTGCCATTGGGGTGGGCTGGGACGTGTTGGGCCACTCGGCGAACAGGGAGGGGAGGGCATGTCCCCCCCTTCCCCGCCTCAACTCATTTTGGTTGTGCAACAAGCAACTAGAGGAAATGGCGGGACCGGTTGTGCATCTGTGTAAGTAGTTGGTGGGGCGCTTATTTTGCGGGGGTGGCTTATATTATCGCATGCGCTGAAAAGCCCGATTGGTCTTATTATCCGGACATGTCTTATTTTCAGGGAAACACAATAGCCTTCCTTAAGATGACTGTAGAAGGCCCAGAGAACAAGTTTCAAAAGAAAAGACCTAAAATTGTGAAGGACTGTCCCAATAGTTTCCAAGTTTGATATTAACAAAAGCTGGCTGGACTTATTTTCAAAAACCATTCTCAAGGCTGGGCTTTTTCAAATGGGCACTCTGTATTGGATTCATACTGAATCTAACAGTATATAATTTTCTGTATGATAAAATATTAAAATTCTTTGCTCCCATTCAGCAATAGGCAATAAATACACACCTTGTCATAATGTGCTGTCAAGCACTTATTTTACTACACACCAGATCTATTTAATACTCTTTTAAACTTTATTTTAACAAGAAAAGTTATATAAACATTGGCATGATGCAAAATAAGGTCCCACTTTTCGAGTCATATTTATTTCCAGGAATACCTTTAACCCACTGAGAACATGAAGACACTTGGGGCAGGGAATTGTTCTCTAGTAAATAAATGCTTTGTAATTGGTCAATCACTGAAGTAGCTATTTGTATTTTTATTTGTATTCATAACATATTTGTACCATTCTAAAAGTGACCTTGGTCCAGGAAGACTGTTTACCTCTGTTTATCTCAAAACTTTTTAAATTGAGAAGACAAAGACATTATTTTAGTAGATAGTCTTCTTTCAATGTTCTCTTATGGTTTTATAAGGTACATTCTTATCAAACAAGATCACTGCATACTTTTTTACTGTAGACCCTCATAAAGTGTTATGCACCTTTTAAAAACAAAAGTTCTCTAGCTGATATAAGTTGTTACACTCAGAAATGTTGTTCAAAATGTACTGAGTTTAATATTTCTCTTCTTCATATATGCAGCCTAATAGCTTTCTCAGAAGGGATTACACATTGCACATTAAGTCACTTAAAAACGAAGTAGGAAGGAGACCCCTTCAGGAAGAGCAGTGTAAGGAAATAAGTACATCATATTATTAGCTGTAAAATGGAAAGGAAAAGGTGAAAATCCTTTCACACAAAATGTTTCTCTTCTCCTGGCTTCTCCTCCTCTTCTTCATATTTCATGTGAATATCTTAAAATATTTATTTAAAACATTTATATAACCACCCATCTTCTAACCAACTCTGGATGGCTCCCAATCAAAAGTTAAAGCAATGTATAAAACCACATTGAAACTATACAACCAAACACATGAAAAAATTAAAATAAACCGCAATAGGTTATTAAGAATCAATACTTGAAAACTACTTTTCTTCTTATAAGATATAATCAAATGTAATTTCTGCAAAGTTCAAGGTTTTGGTAAGAAGAACATGCACTGAACTAGGGTATAGATCAGGGGTCATCAACCTTTCGGACCTCAGGGATCACTAAATTTATAATTTTAAATCCCATGGACCACTAATATGAATTTTAAAAAAAAGAGAAATAGTACTTAGTGCAATATTAAAAATGCAAATAATTTTTCTGCGGACCACCAAAATTTTCTCGCGGACCACCAGTGGTCCACAGACCACCAGTTGGTGACCACTGGTATAGATGTCCTGGAAAAGGGTTGATTCAAATCCAAATTTCTCACTGTTGTGTATAATGTATAACAATGATGGCAGCAAATCTGGATTACTAGGAGCCAAACGTTCCTGGAAAGAAACTCCTTCTCTGCCATGAAAGCACTGGCCCTCTTGATCAAAAAGGCTACATTTTAATGCCGAAGCCAATACTTTTATTTGACAGTACGGCCCTCTAAGGCAGGGGTCTCCAACCTTGGCCAACTTTAAGCCTGGTGGAATTCAACTCTCAGAATTCCCCAGCCAGCAAAGCTTGGGAGTTGAAATCCACCAGGCTTAAAGTTGGCCAAGGTTGGAGACCCCTGCTGTAAGGAAGCCGGCAGCCTTTCACAGTCAAGTCACCCATCGAGGCTGGCTCCTTTTCTTTTGGAAAAGAACGGGATGTAAATGCCTATGGGACAGTCTCAGTCATCCAGGTGGTAGTTGTCCCAAAGGTGCTTTTTCAAAAGGCAACTGGGCCAGTGGTGGGTTTCAAAATTTTGTATTACCGGTTCTGTGGGTGAGGCTTGGTGGGTGTGGCATTGGTGGGTGGGTGTGGCAGGGGAAAGATACTGTAAAATCTCCATTCCCTCCTCACTCCAGGGGAAAGATACTGTAAAATCTCCTTTCCCTCCCCAATCCAGGGGAAGGATACTGCAAAATCCCCATTTCCTCCCGATCAGCCGGGGCTTCAGAAGCAGAGAATAGATGGGGTCTGAGCCAGTCAGAATTTTTACTATCGGTTCTCCGAACTACTCAAAATTTCTGCTACCGGTTCTCCAGAACTGGTCAGAACCTGCTGAAACTCACCTCTGAACTGGGTTCTCCCAAGAGGCAGTGCTAACGACCAGATGACTTGCAAGGGAGTACAAATCTGTCCATTTGAGCCTGACTAGGTGGCCCCCAGTGGCTAAGACACTGATCAGAAAGGTCGGCAGTTCGACGGTTCGAATCCCTAGTATAGATCTCCTGCGTGAGCAAGGGGTTGGGCTGGATGACCTCCGAGAGTCCCTTCCAACTCTCTTACTGTTACACATTTCCCACCATTCGTTCAGAACGGAAGAAGCTGCTTAGATGCGAAGCGAAACGTCTTCAGAGCAAGCAAAGAACGTCCCAGGTGCCTTTTGGGGGAAAAAGCACCTTCGGGGCAACGGAAAGCCCAGAGGGCCTTTCTCTACCCCGCCGCCCCATTTCCTCGGCCGCCCCCACCCCCAGTCGAAGGGCCCAAGCGACGCCCCGAGCTCCATCTTCCCGCAGCCTCCCAGCTACCTTGATGACGCAGGGACACTCCAGCAAGCAGGTCTTCAGGTCCTCGCGTATCCCGGAGCAGGCCCGCTTGTCCTCCTCTTTCCCTTCGTAGTATTTCGGCATGGCGGCGAGGCGTATTCTGGGCTTTCGGCGTCCACGGAGTCCACCCGCGGCTCCGCAACTTCCTCAGCCGCAAGAACTACGCTTCCCGAGAGCCACCTTCTTCGCTCACCTTTCACCTTTCGTAAAGGGAGTTGCGAAAAGGGTAGAAAAGGCGCCTTGCTTCCGTGAGGGGGAGCTTCGTTTTCAATTGGAAACGTGCTTACGTGCCTCTCCCGCGGGCCAGACAGCGGCCCCTAAGACTTCAGTGGGAGAACTCAGTATTTAGGTGTAGGCGTTATTTGATAGGACTTTAGGGCAACTGTGGCCCTTTTACAACCTGTGGACTTCAACTCCCAGAATTCCTGAGACAGCCAAACTGGCTCAGGAATTCTGGGAGTTGAAGTCCACAGGTTGTAAAAGGGCCACAGTTGCCCACCCCTGCTTTATAGGTTTGCAGGGGATCTTATTGTAAGGTGGTTCGATTTTTGTTTTGATACGCATCGACGCATTAGCTGGATTCATGCGGGACTCATCAGCTAAAATATAGTGTGTTCCATGATAAATCAGAAATTGTTTGTTATTTATAGTGAACACAGTCTGTTGTGTAATCTATGATTAACTATGGCTTAGTGCAGGGGTCTCCAACCTTGGCAACTTTAAGACTTGTGGACTTCAACTCCCAGAGTTGGCTTAGTGAGTCGCATTAGTGTGACACCTCTTGCTTAGTGTTTTTTTTCTCTCTCTGGTATGAAAAATAGCTCTATTATTGAAAAATCTAGTATCATCCTTACGTTGCACAAGGCTGTGTGCAAAACGGTAAAAAAAATCTAAGCACTGCGTTGACCCCGAATAACAACTACCTTTGAACGGCACAAAAAAGAGAGAGACATAAATAGATGACCAGCAAAGCGATAGGGAGTTGCATAAATCTTTGCCTCCGCAATCTAATATCCATCGATTTTTGCAGTTAGAACTCTTTCCCACAGTAGAATAAGTCATACTCGTATTACGTTAGATGCTTTCATTATAAAAAATGTATGAATCTTTATTTCTGCCCGTTGGCCAATATTGTTTACTTTGAAAGGGAATAGTGAGATTGAACGAATAGAGTAGAGTAGAGTAGAGTAGAGTAAAGTAGAATAGAATAGAATAGAATAGAATAGAATAGAATAGAATAGAATAGAATAGAATAGAATAGAATAGAATAGAATAGAATAGAATTCTTTATTGCCAAGCGTGATTGGACACACAAGGAATTTGTCTTCCACGTTTTAAATAAAAATACAACGGTGAGTCGGTTTAACATTGGAGAATCAGCATAAAAAAACCTAGCAGTATCTCTTTATAGTAGTATCATAGCATTAAATTAAAAAGAAACGTGCAACGTAACCCACTATAACATATTCCTGTTCAAGGACTGACCCTTCTATCCTTTTTAAAAGTCCGTGTACGTCATCATCCTGCGCTTAAATACTCCGTGGCCGAGCCAACGTCCCACGGTCAGCCTGTGTCTTTTGCGTACGCATGCGCTTTGGCACTTTTGGGGCTGGAAGTTACGGAAGAGTCAGCAACTTAGGGTCTGAGTGGTGGTAGTGGGGGGGGGTGGCGGCAATCAAGCAGAATTTGCAGTGTGGGGGTGTTTTCTTCTGGGAAGCGTCTTTAGTTCCCCCCCCCTCCCCGGCGCAGCGACCAGACGAGAAGAGGCGGGGTGGGCGGTCACCGCTCGCGAAAGGTGAAAGTGGTTGGAACGTTCCGGGGGTTCTAGAACGTTGGGTATCCAAACAGAGCCACGCCCCCTTTTCCTCCCTTCTCTGCCTGCAAGCTTTTAGTCCGCCTTTTCTACCGCCTCGATCGTCCCTGCCTTAAAAGGTACCTGCGGCCTTTCCCCACTTTCCTTCTCCCTCCCCGCTGCTCTCCGAGCCGGCCTCTGGCTACTATAAGCCGATGGTTTGTCAAATAATTCTCATCTGTTTTTATCTGAAGTGCCCGAATCCAGGGAATCAAAACAGACGAATGAATACCCTCCATCCATCACATCTTCTCCTCCAGGGATATCCCGACGGTATTCCTGATTTTGTCCACGGGTGTTTCGTTTCCTGCTTCCTCTGCTCCCTTCCATTTGTCGCAGACAAAACGTTGCTTTAAGAACTCTGATTTATTTATTTATTTTGTCGTTGCAGAAATACAGTTTCCTGTTTTATTCTCTTGAGCTTTTCTGAATCTGTCATGGTTTTTCCTCTCTAGGATTAATATTCTCTTTATTTCTTCAACAGACTGGCCTCTCTTGATCTGTTCTTGAAGCCAAAGCCACTTAGATCTTTTCTTCTTTGGATATTTAGGGATATTTTTTTGCTGCTATTTTCAGAATGCCTCTGTCTCTTCCTATCGGGTTTTCCTTTTAGAAGTTAAGTGTAACGTCTCTGTTTTATGCGTTGGTTTTATGCTCTGACTGTATCCTGCAGAACAAATATTACTAGCTTGCCTGCTCTTTAACTTTCTGAATTTAATATGTTTTGTATATTAAATTTTTGTAGGCTGTTAAGTTTTGTAGGCTATTCCACAGGCTGTTGCTGGCATTGTCCTGATTGCTGAGATTTAACTTAGATTGGCTAAATGTTTGATCTATTCTATGCCCATATAATTTTCTTGACAAGAGTGCTCAAGTATTTGGCTTTTGCTTTCTTCCAGATTTGATTTTGGGGTTTCTTCTTCTAGGAACTTCTTTCATTACCTAATTCCTGTTCTTGATTACTATTCTTCCCCTTCAAACTTTAGCAGCAAAGACACAGCCTGCTCTACTTTATTGCATACTTAGCCTTTCCTTAGAAAAACAACCTTGCAAACATGTACAGATAGTGCTCGACTTACAACAGTTTGCTTAGTGAGCATTCATAGTTTCAACAGCACTGAATAAAATGACCTATGACTGTTTTTCACATGATTATTGTAGCATCCCCACGGTCACATGATCAAAATTTAGATGCTTGGCAACTGACTCAAATTTATGACAATTGCAGTATCCCTGGGTCAAGTGATCAACTTTTGTGACCTTCTGACAAGAAAAGTCAATGGAGAAACCAGATAAACTTAATAACCATAGTACAGTACTAACAACTAGAGTGATTCACTTAACAAATGTGGCAAAAAAGGTAGTAAAATGGAGAAAACTCAACAAATGTCTCGCTATGCAATATAAAAATTTTGGGCTCAATTGTGGTTGTTAAGTCGAGGACTACCTATATTTTCTGCAACTGGCTTTTCATTCCCTTTACAGTACTGATTTACTTTCATTTCTGTTCTTCCACAGTTATGTTTGCTGAATGGTTTTCTTGTGCCTAAACTTTCTCTAGCCACTTGAGATTTACTACATTGAATCAAAAGGTATAAAAACTCAGTTGTTGCCTGTTTTTGTCAAAGATAATTTAAGAACTTTCCCTCTTTTTAAAAAAAAAAAATTGTAATTTTATTATAACACATATATGACATTTACACAACATACAACATATAGGTATCTTATCATTTTTAAGTATTGTTTCATAGTGGTCTTCCATCTGTTACTTTGTTTTTCTTCCCCTATGTCTTCATTTCTTACTCCTTCTTCCCCCCCATTATCCTTTTTTTCCCCTTTCCCCTATAGAGATCCATATATTTTAACTTTCCCTTTTTGCTGTCATTTTCTACAGTCTCCTAGTATACTTTATACATGCAGCACAGTTTTCCCTTTCTATGTGGGAAAGAAAAATAATTTACAGATATATTGTTTTCCATTTGTACAACACAATGATCTTATGAATTAATAAAGCTTTGGATCATTTAAAGGTGTTTCACAAAGTCAGGATGTATTTGTCCTGTGTGAGAAGATAATGGTCTGAACCAGAGGTGGTATTTAGCAGGTTCTGACCAGTTCTGGAGAACTGGTAGCGGAAATTTTGAGTAGTTCAGAGAACCGGTAAATACCACCTCTGACTGGCCCCGCTCCCATCTATTCTCTGCTTCCTGAGTCCCAGCTGATCGGGAGGAAATGGGGGTTTTGCAGTAACCTTCCCCTGGAGTGGGGAGAGAATGGAGATTTTACAGTATCCTTCCCCTGGTATGCCCACCAAGCCACACCCACAGAACCAGTAGTAAAAAAATTTGAATCCCATCACTGGTCTGAACCAGCGGTGAGTTTCACATTATGCTACTACCGGTTCACCCCGCGTGTGCACGCTCACTTTGTGTGTGTGAGCACCCGCCTTCCATGCATGTGCGTTGCTCGCGGGTGCACCTTCCGTGCATGTTCCCAGCCTCAAAAATGTGCCTAAATAGGATGGCATAGAGCTGAAGCGGGTAGGTGGGTCCACTCGCAATTTCCACTACCAGTTCAGATGAACCGGTCCAAACTAGCTGAGTACCACCTCTGGTCTGAACTATATCAACCAGATAACTCTCTTGTACAAGAGGGGAAGAGGAGTTTGCAGAAGACTGTGGTTCATGCATGTAGCTATGGCTCCTGAATGAATCTTTGGCTAGTGAGGAGTGGCAATGAGAGAGAAAAATCACTGCCAGTGATTTATTGTTGCTTTCTCTGCTTGTCAGTATTTTGGAATGGCAAACTCCTGCCATACTTGCTGTATATATCTTGAAATTCTCCCAGATTTCTTGGAAGCAGGGTTTTTTTTTTTAGCAAGCATTATTCCTACCAACAATCTTACAAGAAATAGGTAAAACTCTTTCATAGCTATTTATGTATTGAGTTCTTTGCACTGAATCACATCATTGCCAGAGCCAGAGAATCATATAAAACGATGACCTTAGCCGAGGTATTAATATTAACCTCTCTGCTTATTCAAGAATAGTGATGCCAAATGGATGAAGTGGAACATTTTCTCATTAGTTTGTGACTTTTTCATTTGGAATCTTTTGAGGAATAATTTTTGCAGTTGTATCAAGTATGTTAACACTTTGAGTATACTTAACAGATAAAGTGAGGATTGGCTTTCTACTACTACTATGTTTAATAACAGGATCTAATACATGCTTATAAAAAACAGAGCAAGATTTACTACTTAGAAGTGGGAGGAGGTGGTTTATAATTTCAGTGTGGAAACTGGTGCCTGCTTTGAAGTTTTAGCTCAGATGTACTTCTTTTTAAAAATTGTGGCTAGGATAGGATAGGATAGGATTCTTTATTGGCCAAGTGTGATTGGACACACAAGGAATTTGTCTTGGTGCATACACTCAGTGTACATAAAAGAAAAGATACATTCGTCAAGAATTATAAGGTACAACACTTAATGATAGTCATAGGGAACAAATAAGCAACCCAATCATATTAGGAAACAGTCAATATAAATCATAAGGATACCAGCAACAAGGTTACAGTCACACAGTCATAAGTGGGAGGAGATGGGTGATAGGAACAATGAGAAGATTAGTAGTAATGCAGACTTAGTAAGTAGTTTAACAGTGTTGAGGGAATTGTTTAGCAGAGTGAAAAAACTGTTCTTGTGTCTAGTTGTTCTGGTGTGCAGTGCTCTATAGCATCGTTTTGAGGGTAGGAGTTGAAACAGTTTTTGTACAGGATGTGAGGGGTCTGTAAATATTTTCACAGCCCTCTTTTTGACTCATGCAGTATACAGGTCCTCAATGGAAGGCAGGTTGGTAGTAATTGTTTTTTCCCTCTCTTTAGCAAGATGTTGCCTACCACATCAATTAACCCCCGAGATCAGGGCAATGGATCTTTAAATACTAGAGCATCAGCAAGACACACAGCTGGGGCAAAGCGCTATAAATACTTGAGAAGACTCCTTCATTTTCGTCACATGGACTTTGAGTTTGCTGTGTGGCAGATGTTGTATCTGTTCACTTCACCACAGAAGGTGTACAGAAATTTTCAGTATAGGAAACAAACAAAAGACCAGTGGGCTAGAGATGACCCTGCTTTCCTTGTGTTGCTGAGTATCTGGCTGTGTGGTGAGTACCTGAGAACTTCCCTATTTACTTGAAATTAGTATTTCTAGCTTGGTGCCCTGAAATATTGGTAGTAATGAGTCCTCCGAAACAATAACCAATTTGGTCTGGTGGTTAAGGCATCAGCCTAGAAGCCAGGAGACCGTGAATTTTAGGCATGAAAGCTGGTTAGGTGATTTTGGGCCAGTCACTCTCTGCCTGCCCAACGTGCCTCACAGAGTTCTTGTGGGAAAAATAGGACGAAAGATTATTTTGTGTGTGTGCAGCCTTGAGTTATTTATAAAAACAGTAAAGGTGGGATATAAATAAATATTGGTGTTTTACGTAGTGCTCAACCAGAGTAAACCATTACAGAATTGAGAGCTAGAAGTCTGAACACCTACTGGTAGAGCAGTGGTGGGTTTCAACTGGTGTTACCACCGGTTCGCTTCGCGCACGCGCTTTGCACGCGATTCCATTTCGGAACAACAGGTGCGGCAATCCGTTCTGCCCCATCTATCAGCTGGGCTAAAAACGAGCAAATATAGGTAGGTATAGCGCAGGGGTGGGCGGGAGGGCCCAGCTGACAGTCAGAGTGAACAAGTTCGCTCTCACTTCACCGTCACCGCTACTGGATTGCCCGAACCGGGGAGAACCAGTAGCAACCCACCATTGCGGTAGGGTCAGATTCACAGTATTTGTGAAGGAACTCAGAATTGTATCTGAATTCTAGGAACACCAATGTCCAGTAATTCTCTGTTGGTAAGCAGGCTCACCTGCTGAGCTATTTCATCCCTAGTCTTAAAAAAGACACCATTATCTATAACTTACTTCATTAATTTAGAAACATGTAAATACAAAAATATTACCAAGGCACTTTACGTATATGTGTCTTAGTTTTCAGACTAGCAGTATTGACAACAAGAGAATAGGAAGTATTTGCTTGGAAAGATGAAACTATATACAGGTGAAACATGAAAAATTAGAATATTGTGCAAAAGTTCATTTATTTCAGTAATGCAACTTAAAAGGTGAAACTAATATATGAGATAGACTCATTACATGCAAAGCGAGATAATTCAAGCCTTGATTTGTCATAATTTTGATGATTATGGCTTACAGCTCATGAAAACCCCAAATTTACAATCTCAGAAAATTAGAATATTACATGAAATCAATAAAACAAGGATTGTACATAGAACAATATCGGACCTCTGAAAAGTATAAGCATGCATATGTACTCAGTACTTGGTTTGGGCCCCTTTTGCATCAATTACTGCCTCAATGCGGCGTGGCATGGATGCTATCAGCCTGTGGCACTGCTGAGGTGTAATGAAAGACCAGGATGCTTCAATAGCGGCCTTCAGCTCTTCTGCATTGTTCTGTCTCACGTCTCTCATCTTTCTCTTGGCAATGCCCCATAGATCCTCTATGGGGTTCAGGTCAGGCGAGTTGCTGGCCAATCAAGCACAGTAATCCCATGGTCATTGAACCAGGTTTTGGTACTTTTGGCAGTGTGGGCAGGTGCCAAGTCCTGCTGGAAAATGAAGTCAGCATCCCCATAAAGCTCGTCTGCGAAAGGAAGCATGAAGTGCTCCACAATCTCCTGGTAGATGACTGTGTTGATCCTGGACTTAATGAAGCACAGTGGACCAACACCAGCAGATGACATGGCTCCCCAAATCAACACAGACTGTGGAAACTTCACACTGGACTTCAAGCATCTTGCAGTGTGTGCCTCTCCATTCTTCCTCCAGACTGTGGGTCCTTGGTTTCCAAATGAGATGCAAAAGTTGCTCTCATCAGAAAAGAGGACTTTGGACCACTGAGCAACAGACCAGCTCTTTTTTTCTTTAGCCCAGGTAAGATGCTTCTGACGTTTGTTGTTCAGGAGCAGCTTGACAAGAGGAATATGACATTTGAAGCCCATGTCCAGGATCCGTCTGTGTGTGGTGGCTCTTGATGCACTGACTCCAGCCTCAGTCCACTCCTTGTGAAAGTCCCCAACACTTTTGAATGGCCTTTTCCTGACAATCCTCTCCAGGCTGCGGTCATCCCTGCTGCTTGTGCACCTTTTTCTTCCACACTTTTCCCTTCCACATAACTGTCTATTAATGTGCTTTGATACAGCACTTTGGGAACATCCAACTTCTTTTGCAATTACCTTTTGAGGCTTTCCCTCCTTATAGAGGGTATCAATGATGGTTTTCTGCACAACTGTCAGGTCAGCAGTCTTTCCCATGATTGTGATTCCTACTGAACCAGTCTGAGAGACCATTTAAAGGCTCAGGAATCCTTTGCAGATGTTATGGTTTAATTAGCTGATTAGAGTGGGACACTTTGAGCCTAGAATATTGAACCTTTTCACAATATTCTAATTTTCTGAGATTGTGAATTTGGGGTTTTCATGAGCTGTAAGCCATAATTATCAAAAGTATGACAAATCAAGGCTTGAACTATCTCGCTTTGCATGTAATGAGTCTATCTCATGTATTAGTTTCACCTTTTAAGTTGCATTACTGAAATAAATGAACTTTTGCACAATATTCTAATTTTTCGAGTTTCACCTGTAAGTAACTAACTTTATTGGAGATGGAGGCATATTACTGAATGAGTCTTCTTTAAAACTTTGGGGAGCACATGACTATCCAAAGTTAGGGCATCTTGTATACCTTGAATTAATCATATATATCATTGCTGTTCATCTTCCTCCTCCAGTATCCACTATAGGATTTGGCTTTGTGTTAGGCTTTGGATTTGTTGAAATGATAAAGCTACTGCTGTGGGTCGTGTTTATAGACTGTGTAGGAGTTGGCCTTCTAATTGCAACTTTAATGTGGTAAGTATCTTTAAAATAATCTTAAAATGCAGATTTCTGAATTTAAAAATAGCAAGTTCCAAACAGAGAATTTAAAATTAATAGTGTACTCCAGTATCAGCTCAAGATTTTAAAAGGAAAGACAACGGAGCATAAATTTTGAACAACGGAGCATAAGTGATACTCGCATATTGGATTTACTTTCTGGAGAGGGTCATAGAAAATTAAAATTAATTCTGAGTTCACTTGTTACCATATCACCGTTACTTGACATTTATGTATGCAGTAGAGTTTATGGAAACCATCCAGACTAGAAAATGACTAGAAAAATATGTTTAGGATTCTCTGGCATATAATAGGCACATACTGTATTAGAAAGAATGGGAAATGTTTTTTTTCCCCTTGTCCTGATTTGAGAAGAGGTGGATGGAAAAATAGAGTTCCTTACTGAAGAATATATTTATATTTTTAATATTCTGCTAAGGAATCAAAACTATTCTTTTGCTTTTATAATATTCCTTAAAAGAACTTGTAAATTTTATTTTGGATTTCTAGATCAAAAACACATTTGGATTTGACAGTACTACAAAACATGAATAAATGTTACACAGAAGGAAAGAGAGTTAGAGTTATTTCATGCTATATTGAAATAATAAAGCATTGCACATTTTAATACATAGGTTTTGAATTTCCCCCCAAAGGTTTATCTCCAATAAATTTTTGCTAAAGCAACAAAACAGGGACTATGATGTAGAGTGGGGCTATGCTTTTGATGTTCATTTGAATGCTTTCTACCCACTTCTTGTTATCCTGCATTTTATCCAGTTATTTTTCATTCATTGTAAGTATTTATTTTTAAATTGAAACATTTTTATTGTCTTGCTTTCTTTTATGTCATATACTGAGGCTGAATTATCTCTTGCAGATGTAATTTTATCAGCATCGTCTATTGGCTATTTTGTTGGAAATACTTTCTGGCTGATTGCAATTGGTTATTACATCTATGTGACATTTCTGGGGTACAGTGGTAAGTAGCGGTAAATCTTTCAGCAAGAAATTAGTATGGCAGATGAGAAGGAACAGTTTTATTGGCCCTAAACAAGCGTGTATAAACGTTATATCGTTATCTGTCAAACAGCCATTTTCACGGGCATGAGTGCCTGACATGCAGTTATGTAACCGTCAGGGAGGAGGTCATCTTCAGAACTGGGTTATAAGTACCTTGGGGTGGGGGTGGGGGAGGTAGGCCATTGTAACTTTGAATGGTTGTTAAGCAACCAGTCATATGTCAAGGACTATCTGTAATCACAGAGAAGCTAGGTTCAAAGTCTTTACTTTTACTCCTTACTCCATAGTTGTCTTGCCATACCCTCCCTTGGGGTATAGTAAATTATTTACATGAGTCCCTGGAGTGAAAACTCTGCCATTTCCTTCAGTGGTTTGTTTTTGTTTCAGGAAGCTTCATATTTCCAAGAATTAACAATAGCTCTGGGGATGTATTTTTTAGTGAAAGTGTATTAGCTTTCTCACACACAAGAGGGAGCCCTTCCTGCTCTTTCTTATCCTTGAGACAAAGAGATGTAGTCTTGGTTTCTACTGAAGCTCTGCTCCCTTTCAGCACTGCCATTCCTGAAGAACACGGTGATCCTTCTGTATCCATTTGCGCTTCTCATCTTGCTGTACGTGGTCTCTTTAGCCATTGGATGGAACTTTACTAAAGCACTTTGCGTTTTCTACACATACAGAGTGAAATAAACTGGTCTCCAATAAATAACACCTTGTACAAATGTCAAACCTGGTGAAATGAAGATACTCTTGTACATTCCTGTAAATAACTTACTCCTCACTGTAGATCAGTGTATACAAAATGTTTGGGTTTTTTAAAAAAAAAAGCACTGACAGTCAATAAGCCTTCAATATCCCTCCTTTGTGGAAGAGTTGTATATCTCTGTAATAAAGATTCTTTTTAAAATTCAATTGCTTTTAAGTAGATTTCTTACTACACTTTTTATAATTAATTTAAGTCATTCAATAAGATATTACAAAATTCAATATTAGACAAGTTTCAGTAATGACTGATTTTATTTTACTTATAAATGCCTAGTGTGTTTTAAAGACAATATTTAAATGTTTGCCATCTTGCCACCCATATAAAAAGGTGGGTAAAAACATAGTAATAATGTTTCATGTGAATCTGTTGGCCTCAAAGAAGCTGTGCTTCTACTGCTACCCATTCCAAGTAAGATTATAAAAACATGGTTGGTTAGCATCAGGTAGTAGCTATCACTTAAGATGGGAAACACTATCCAACCCACTTTTGTGGTCATGTACTCTGGAAAATAGTCTAACCATTCTTGTGTTAGTCTGGCAGCTTCTAACACATACGCATTTATACAATTCTAGGGCACCAGGAAAAGCATAACATCATTGTGCCCATAGATTTTCCAGGATATATAAAAAGCTTGATAGATTTTATAGAAAGTGTACAGATTTTTTAAATTGCACTACTTTACTCTTCAACGTGCTAAAATGTCCATACTTTTTGCTATTCATGTACTACAAAACTACAGTCATGCCACAGAAAATGTGTTTTCAAGTTTAATTTTGTGATGTAGGAGCAAAATTATTGCAGATAACTACTAGCTTTTCAGTAGTTCTTAATCCAGTATGAATTATTCAAGATGCCTGTTATACATTCAGTCTTTCCAATCCGACTATCCAACAGATTAATAAAGTAAACTTTAGTGATTAATATGTAGAGTAATACTCTAGTCACATTAATATGTAAACTCTACTAAGTGGTTAGTAAAGTGGTATGTGACAACACTCTTAGAAGGACATGAGGAAGAATATGGTATATACAAAGCATATGTAATAGTTCGCAGGAGGAGGAAATAAAATGAGAGAAGTGGAAACTGAATAAAATAAAGAATTTGTTTATTGATCAAATCTGTATAGCTACCCATCTCAAAAAGCAACTCTGGGCAGGAGAAAAATATATAGTTCTATTACTGCATATAATCTCACAAGAAGATTCTGCAGGAAAAGTACTGTCATTTTGATTTACTTTCACACCTCTCCATAATCATTATCCCACCTCAGAAAATTAAAAAGAAAACTATTCTAAGATAGCCATTATATGTTAGCTGGAATTATGCTGTATATCTATCTATCTTAATATATGATATATGTTAATATATGATGCTGTTAATATGACTCTGCACAACATCCTACAACAACTTGAATCTCCAAAGACCTATGCAAGGGTCCTCTTTGTAGACTTCAGCTCAGCATTCAATACCATCATTCCAGATATTCTTCTAACTAAACTAAATCAGCTAGCTGTACCTGACCACACTTGTAAATGGATCATAAGCTTCCTAACAGACAGGAAGCAGTAGGTGAAGCTAGGCAAAATCATATCAGATACCTGCACAATTAGCACAGGGGGCCTCCAGGGCTGTGTGCTCTTTCCATTTCTCTCTATACACCAATGACTGCATCTCAAAAGATCCCTCTGTTAAAATACTGAAGTTTGCAGATTATAACAACAAGACAACGAGGAATGAGATGAAGATAAATGAGATGGGAGGTTGAACAACTAGCCTTGTGGTGCCACCGGAACAATCTTGAACTAAATACACTCAAAACTGTAGAAATGGTGGTGGATTTTAGAAGAAAGCCTCCTATATTACTACCTCTTATAATCCTAGACAACACAGTATCAACAGTAGAGTCCTTCAAGTTTCTAGGTTCTATCATATCTCAAGACTTAAAATGGACACAACATCAAAAACATCATCAAAAAAGCTCAACAAAGAATGTTCTTTCTGCACAAACTCAGAAAGCTCAAACTGCCCAAAGAGCTGCTGATTTCAGTTCTACAGAGGAATTATTGAGACTGTCATCCGCACCTCCATAACTGTCTGGTTTGGCTCTGCAACCAAACAAGACAGACACAGACTTCAACGGATAATTAGAACTTCAGAAAAAACAATTGCTACCAACCTGCCTTCCATTGAGGATCTGTAAACTACATGAGTCAAAAAGAGGGCTGTGAAAATATCTAGAAACCCCTCACATCCTGGGCATAAATTGTTTCAACCTACCCTCAAAAAGACACTATAGGGCACTGCACACCAAAACAACTAGACACAAGGACAGTTTTTTCCCAAATGCCATCACTCTGCTTAACAACTAATTCCCACAACACTGTCAAATAATTTACTAAGACTATATTACTATTAGTCTTCTCTTCCTTACTAGTATCTATCTCTTCCCACTTATTTCTATAACCATGTTGCTTGTATCTTTCAATTATATTGTTTTTGTTTCCTAGTACGATCTGCTAGCTTATTAGTAACCTTGACTATCACTAAGTGTTGTATCTTTGTATTCTTGATGAATGTATTTTATTCTCCTTATGTACACTGAGAGCATATATACCTAAGACAAATTCCTTGTGTGTCCAATCATACTTGGCCAATAAAGAATTCTATTATATTCTATCCTTAAAACTATTGCATATAAAAAGCATTTTTGTTTAGTTTTATGTACACTTGTTTCCAGTTGTATTTATCTAATACAAATACTTCCAGCCCTTCTGCAAAACTTTCCATTTCTTTTTCTAGTTAAAACTCCAGAAGGCAGTTTTTTAAAATATTTATTTCAAATAGTACATGGGCAGCTCATGGCACATAGCGCATTGATGAAAGGCACAATTAACATGACCCAGTTAGATTTTCAAATGTAGCAGCAAGATTAACAATATCAAAATCTAGCTCTAGAAAAATGTTACAAGTAATGAAAATGCTTAACCATATCATGGAGAATGCCAAGAAATCTGGCTGTAGGATGATGATTCACATTTTACAAGCACAAGAACAGAAGCACAACTAGAAAGCTGACAGAGTCAAAAACGGAGTAGGGCAACTCTAAATGTTTTTAACCAGTAAATTGGTTTCTACTGACAATCAAAATAGCATCTTCAAAACACCATAATTCAAGTAATATACAAGCTGTTCCTTTCTCCAGAAGGAGGAAGTAGACTGAATTTGAGACCTAATAGGCAAGAAGGGGCATGAAGTAATATTTGTACTTTTGCAGGAAGAATTTCAAAAGCTTTAGGGAAAAAAAAACCTCTTTTAAAAGCTCTTTTAAAAAACAGGGATGTTTTAAGCACCAGAAATATCCAGACACCTATTTATATTTAAAAAATAACTATGCTTAATTATCAACGGCTAAGATTTAATATTTCAGTAAAATAAAGAATGCCAACAACTTGAACATTTAGTTCAGCTGCATTTATTTTAAGAAAATATGAATGTCAGTAGAAAATATAAGAAAAGATAATTGTATCAGGAGTTTGGGATGATTGATATATTTAGAAAGCTGAGAATGTATGAGAACCCAAGCATGGTGAAATCTGGGAAGAGCATTGGCCTACTCTCAAAATGGCTACTATGAGGAAACCTATACCAAAGTACTGATCCACCAAAATGCTACCTTCTAGGCACTCTTCTAAACAAAATTCTGGGCAGTTATCACACATTTTATTGGAAAACTTGGAATGATTTTTGAACTAAAAATAAGCCTACTACCATGTATTAAATTCCCATTTTAGAAATTTGGATTTTTTTGGAAATTTGGATGCTAAAGGATGTTATTATCTACTCCAAAGTATCAGGATATACTTGTTTGTTAAGTCACCAACTGAGAATTTTCTACTGAACCTATTTTCTAACAACCTAACAACCTAGTGAGATATAGATAATTCTTGACTTACAACGGTTTAGCAAGTGTTTGAAGTTACAATGGCAGTGAAAAAAGTGCCTTATAATTGGTCCTCACACTTACAACCGTTGCAGCATCCACACATTCACCAATCAAAGTCTGGGTGTTTGGCAACTGGCATGTATTTACGATGGTTGTAGGATCCTGGGATCATGTGATCACTATTTGCAACCTTCCCAGCCGGCTTCTGACAAGCAAAGTCAATGGGGGAAGCCAGATTCACTTTAGAACTGCAGTGATTTGCTTTAAGTGGCAAAAAAAAAAAAAGCTATAAAATTGGGCAGGATTACCATACATTACCACTGCCTTCTTTAGCCACAGAAATTCTGGTCCCAATTGTGATTTTACACTGAGGACTATCTAATATATTATAGTTGCACTCATGTCCTGATGAAAGAGTCACGGTTATTGGAAAGCAAGAAGCTTTTTGCATATTCCGTTCAGTGAGATTATTCTAAGCACCAACTCAATGCATATTGTTTTTTTTTGTTTGTTTGTTTTTTGCATCTGGCTTTCAAGTCAGTATTATACTGACTTGTGGTGATTGCCTGGACAAGCCTTTGCAGTTTTCTTAGCAAGATTTCAGAAGTGGATTGCTATTGACTCCTTCTAGGCTAAGGTAGGAGGGGGGGAGACTGCCCAAAATCACTCATCTAGCTTCATGCATAAGGCAGGATTAGAATTCGGGGTCTCCCAGTTTCTGGTCTAATGCCTTAATCATTACATTGCCTGTCTCACTGTTATACTTAAAAAACAATAATCTAAATCTTCCACTAGAAAATAAAAGAAAGCATTTGAAATTATTTTTAATAATCTCTACTATAACATCAAATGAAATGAATGTATTTAGAATGATGCTAAGACAAGACCATTAAGATAATTCTATTACTATAGCTCAAGTGGTGGATAATTGTACACAAGCTCTTTTCTTCATTAGAGCATTAATCCACATAGATGTTTATTGGTCCATTTAGATATCCTTATACAACTGGCCAATTGCTTGGGGGGGATGGGCATTATTACCTGATTTATCCTTGGCCTGTTGGATCTTTAAAGCTGGCAGTATAAAGAATTGACATTCATTACTTTTTCTCATTTCCTGTTGGCAGTACAGGAACACTTTGCTAGTGTACCTCCTTATCTGTGCAATTCTTTATTACATGGAATGGTTTATACCTAAGACAGTTGTCTATTTGTAGAGATTTAAAGTTAAGGATTAAAACATTACAACTGTAATACTGCAAAGTAGAATACTACTGAATACAGGAAATATTGCATCTGATTAAGTATGCCTAAAGTTGCATTGGAGGACATCACTTGATTTCTGGGTTACTGTTAAATCAATTGGCTACTGATTTTGGAGAGAGAGACTTTCCCCAAAGACCATACATTCAATGGGAGGAAGTGATCTATTGGTCTTTGGGAGAGAACAGCAAATTACATTTAGATCTAAGATTCAGACTAATTTTTAAATTAAATACAAAAGGTTAATAAACCTACACAAACTGCAATGGAATAAGCTGCTGGGGATAGAAAATCTCACATTTATGAGGCAGAGACTCATATATCACTGATCTGCTATATTAGCTTGAGCTAGGACAAGTGATTATATAGCTTTACAACTTGTTCATAGCAAACTTAAAATACGGAAATGAATATTTTCATACACGTTATTCCCTTTTCCATATAAAGAAAAGGTACATATTTTGAACAGTTTCTCACCAATCCTCTATGTTTTTCCTACCCAACATTATTTTTGGGTAGGAAAATCTTATTCTTGATTATCATTATTAAGTTTAGCATAAATACCCCTTACCCTACCCACCCACCTCAACGTGGCATGTCAATATTAAATACACATTCAATTAGTGTTCAGTATTACAGGCAGCTTACAGGTTATCTAAAAATAATTTTAACATTTAAGATTTATAGAACATTTAGGAATCAGAGTTCTTCATTAGTTTAATATATGTCTGTAAAATAGGCCATTATTACTATTCCTTCCATTTTGGAATAGGTACAGGCCATCCATTAATTTTATAGAAGTAGTAATATTCAAATTCATAACTTAGCTAGTATGTCATACAAGCATTTCTGTATGCATACATCCCCAACCAACAAAGAATTTCAGCAAAACTATTTCATAAATATAAGGTCCATCTAATTAAAATCAAAGCAATCTCAAATCTTGAATAATTTGAAACAATTCAAGTATTTTTTCATACTGTGATCTTTCTTTTCTTTAGAAGTGGATGGACTCTTCATAGACTCAAATAGAAAACAGATATCCAATCCACTCAATACATTACAAATCATTTCTATATTTGATAGAAGGCAAGAGAGACACTGATTTTTGGCAAAAACTTACATCCGAGACACAGAAATATCTAAGAATTAACTCACAATACAAGTTATCACTATTGAAGATTTACCTGTGTGAGTCACAGGACTAAGAAAAAAAAAAGCCTTGCTTTTCATAACTTGGCTGGAGTTAGATAAGAATTTTTTTTTTGTTACTATTATTACTTTACTATTGCATGTTTTCTGTGCTACAGAGCACAAAGTGCTTGAATTGCCTCTCTTCAAGGCTACTGACCAAGCAAACATCTTTTTTCTTTGACATACAAAAGACAACAAGCATTTAGATCACAGGAGTCTTGCTTCAGTCAACTGGAGTGCAATGCTTTTAAGCAGAAGCTGGATCTTAAGAAATAGAAATCACTTCCACATTTAAGGACTGACAAAGTTACAATTATAAAAGCTCAGCTGAGGTTACTGTGTATCTATTCCATTATCCCTAACATAATGCTAAATTAAATCATTCAAAAGCACTGAGCAGAGTTCATTGAAAAGGGGATGCAAAAAAAAAAAAAAGTTGATTTCAGAAGGCATTGCTATCCAAAGGAGCAACTTGGCTGATTGCATTGAAGAAAACTTTACAAAGATTAAAAAAGAACAACCTGTTATCAAAGTACCCCTTTAATGGGGAATGATTCAAACTTTAAATTGCTGCAGACTTCATTCACTCTATTGAAATATAAAATTCCTTAATTCCAGGGCTATGAAAATCATAGGTAATGTTCTTCAAAGTCCTTGCGCGCCATGTTTGTATCTTTGAACACCATATCTGTAATTCTGTGAACCTCTCATGAGGATGTTCTTCTGTGTAAACCCTTCTTATTTCGGTGGGATTTGTGCAGGAGAACCTGGTCTGGTACAAAAGTGCTTCATTGGCAAATTCAATTTAACTCTTCTGACCATGGCAATATATTACAAAATATGATCATTAACCAAGTAAAATGTACAGCTAACTCAAGAAGTAAGATAATACATTAAAAAAAACTTAATCAAGTTATTATTGGCATAAAAATATGTACTTTTCAAATTATTTAATAAATTAAATACCCTAAAATTTTTGAATATATATCCCTGATAATCTATAAAAGAGGGTTTTCAATAACAAAATAAATGGACTTTCAAAAAGTACCCTCTTCATAAAATGCATTTTAACACCTTTTTCTCATTTCCAAGGAATGTAACAATATGTACACCTTCTATGTACTTAACCCATCACCATTGGATAGACCAAGGAGAATTTATGTGCTCCCTAGCCAACCGAACTCATGTTCAAATTATTAATCTAGATAAAGAATGCCAGGTGAATATCAGTTTCTACGTTGTAATCAATCCTTCTTGCTGAGTCTTTATTCTCAATTACAGTAGAATTCACGGGAGGTAGTATTTCAGTGAGAAAATTGAGTTGAATTAAGGTGCATACTCAATATCTTCCTTCTGCAGTTTGGACGATTTTGCAAAAGTGTTCAAAATCTGTCTTCTTACTTCTTCAATATTGATCAGTTGGGGAGTTTTTTAATATGAATCTGTAAAATATGAATCTGTTGAATTGAAAAATGTCTGATAGACTCCAATAAACAGTCAAACACTTAAGCAAACAAAGTTCATATGCCTTTCAGTCTGATGTAATCAAGTTTCTGCAACATTTAACAAATGCTTGGAAGCCCAACAAAAATCACCTTTTTGGAGTGTGCTTCTGCATGTGTTTTGATACAAGAATGACTGTTAATCAGAGATGGGGTGAACTGCTAGATCAGGACTATCAAACTGATCAGCAGCCCATGGGTCAGATATGTCAACCGGGCCTGGTTTAGTGAAGGGAAAATAAGTCCCGATACAGTACGTCCCATGATGCTGCTGTGACAACACGAGTTTGACACCAGTGTGCTAGATCAAAATTTACAGTATCTGTTAGCAGAAGACATGATGAAAGTGGTTGCTGGGAGCTATTGTTCAGTACATCTATGGTCAGTACTACTGAAAGATAAAGGAGAAACAGAAACTTCCTCTTTTCTGTTATAAGGTATAGTTTTTTGTTATATGACTACTAGCCACAATTTCTCTGTTAATCTAAAAGACTTTTTCCCAACATGACATTTCAGATGTATAGAACTTATATGACAGACCACCAGATTTGGCAAGTCTGATCGAAGTCATTAAGACTCCTGCAAACTGACACACTTGACATGCTTGGTTATTGTAAAAGGTTTTCTGAACTGTCTATTACAACGGACTAGTTCAAAGACCCCATGAGCAGAATATATTGATAGAAAGCACTTTGGCACTTGGTAACAGAAGAAATGAATGTCCTTTCTCCGCTATTCTTAGAAATCAGATCTCAGGAACTGGAGAACCTTCTGAATAGCATGGGTAGTATTGTAGCTAGGAAAATTGGAAAAGGACAAAGGGCCTTTCAACAAATAGGACATATTTGGATCTAACTCAATTCATACCATTGGAATATCTAGTCTATGACAGGAAGTCAAGAATATACAAGTGCGGTAAAATGCAAAAAAGTCAAACTATTCTGAATTTTGCATCCAGTATTAGCATTAATATTCCTTTTCACTGCACAGCAGCTACACTTTTATAAAGGAGAAAGATTCAGAATAGTCCCGAAGATAGTGAAGATACCATGATATTTAATTTAAGAAACTTAAGAATTTAAATGCCTGAAGGCAAATGCTCTAGTTATTAAGCACCCTTTGTTTAACTCTTACCTCATTTATAATTGTCCAGACGGATGAATTTTGTATGACAAACAGCCGGACAGCTGTAATTGGATTTAGATTGGGATTGACTATTCCTTCTGCTATGCCATTTTCAAATTTGCCTTCAAAAGCAAAATAATCATTCTAAATAAGCATCCACTAATCAAATGCAAATCACTTACACTTACCTGGATTTTTATGTATAATATGAAAAAGTCAAAAAATTTATCTGCCAATATAGCACTTATTTATTCTATCAAATGAAAATAGTATGACCACTTCATTTACTTGGAATATGTACAATTTCAAAGAAGGCCTTCAGAGAACATGAAGAGTGCAAATAGCACTTGACTCAAATTATTTAATGCTGCTGCTGTGTATTTTTGTAAAGTCAGATGGTTGCTTTAAGGAGACACTATATATGCACCCCTATGCACTCCAAAGTATCACTTTGGAATAAATTCTGAATTACTACTCTACCATAACAACATTTAAGTGATGCAGACTTCAGAATCCACAATTAGATGGTTGCATTTTTTCCCCTAGATTTCACAGTTCCCACATGTCACAGCATACCTTCTTATTTTGTGGTAATGCCAATACTATATCGCTGCTCAGATACCTTATGTAACATTGGTTCATGAAATTCTGTCACCTGAACTTGATTAGTATGCTGCTAGATCAATAGAAATGCAAAATGAGCCATAACTTGAGTTACTTAGATTTTGTACTCAAATGTCTATAAAACAGAACTGTAGTATTATTTAGTTACCTATTCTGAAATAACCATCTTCTAACCGTTTCTCTTTGGTTTCTTTGCTTAATACCAGCTCTTTATTCTGAAAAATGAGATATAAAAAAATTATCATCAAACTGATAAAGGATTTAATTAATTGTTTAACAAATACTAATATGGTAATAAATAAAAAATACACAATTTTTCCCCCTCATCCCCACTTCATAATACCCTGGAAACCAACAAGACTGGACTGGGCCTTCTCAGAAGAGGCTATGGTTGGTTGATACCAGGAAGTGAAATAATATTCCTAAAAGATAATGATATGCTACATCCTTTTATTTACATATATACAACCTATTTTAACATAATATGCATGATAATATAAATGAGGCATTTATGTATTGATCAGCTTCTTCTTTGAAACCTATAAAAAGTTTCTGTAGTCCAATACTAAATATATTTACTAATAAATAAGCCCCAAGACAACACAGAATTGAAGTTTTACAAGTTAATAATAATTTATAAGTAGATAATTTAAATTTTATTTTTAATCATCTGTAAGGCCTGCAGTCCAATACAGCTTCCCTCCTTGGTTCTATCATTGCTCAGCATTATTTCAGCTATGGCTGAATTACAAAACTTGCAGCATGGCCTGTGCTGAAAGAGATACAGAAAGCTTTAGTTTAGCAACTAAAGTCAAGTTTATTGTGATGCTCTATAAATATTTACTGTTCTGGGGAGGGAGGAAATACCTCCAGCTATAGTTACAGAATAGGCTTCATGAAGTCCAGGCTTATTTTTTTAAGAGTGGGATAAAAAGAAATGCTGGTGATTCCAGACTCAGTTATTGAAGGAAGTGATTGTCTTTAAATTCTCAGCCTTGAGCATGCAAAGCAAACAGCCAGTATGATCCCCATTATTAATAAAAGAGTATTCCTGCTTACTCTCTTGTAATCCCTTTCTCTAGTCTACAGTGAATGTAACACAAACATTAATTCTGCTCTTGCTAATTATCCAGAATTGCAGTAAGCATTCAGCTTGGGAGTAGGAAAAAAGGAAAGCTGAAATAAAATAATAAGCACAGTCATGGTCACATGATTTTCCAATTTAGGGATTGAACCCATTTAGCAATCGAGTTCTGGTCCCAACTGTTGTTGCTAAATATTTGTATTGCTGTTACACCCATAGAAAGGAAAAAGAAATAGACTTTATTATCATACCCTAAGAGGTAATACTTCCACAGTTGTATTGACCAATATATCCCCTGGATGTTCTGGATTGCCACTATGGAACAGGAATCTATATCATGGAAAACAATAAAGCAAAACAAATTGTAAAAACAATCACAAATCACCCATGTATCTCTAATTCTATCTATTGAAAGAGTTTACTTTCAGGTAATATGCAAAGAATTGCTATCAAGGATGAAAAACAAAACATAATGTTCAAAACTGATCTTGCAAACAATTCATTATTGATAGTTTCAAATAGGTGAACAAGATAACTAGCAGAATTTCAGTTATAACAACACAAGTGCAGAAGACTTTTTGCTCTATCTCTTTGCTGAGAATCTAATTAAAGGCCATTTTGCCATTCATGAGATTTCATATGAAAAACATGAAAAATGTTTTTCTAACTCAAACTCAGTTTAGATTACATCAGAGTAACAAAATTATTATCTGAATATCTTCAGAATAGGAGCATACTTGGCAGAATTGTGCAAAATGTTAAAAGAAAATGGACAGTTCCCATTTCACAGGAAGTGTTGCACTGCTGTTAAAATCTTAGCATTTGAGTTCAAAATGACCCTGTTTTTTTTCACTCATATACAAAAATTTAGTAGCCAAATGCACTCCACATTTTTTGAACTACAGGAGCTACGTCAGAAATATTTCAAGAGTACCAGTTGTTCTATCTTTATTGCATGCTATCTACAGCAAGAAACAAAACTGAATATAGCATCCACATTAAGAATTTAATATAATGGAAGATTATTTAAAAGACTGGAAATTAGTATATAATTCAGATATGGAAGCTTGTAAAACATCAAACTGATGCTATTCTAATTTAGCAGCAAAGTTAAGACTGAGCAAACATTGTGATATGATTGTAACGTTCAGTTCAAGTAAGATAGCCTTATCAATTTCTAAGTTTGCTATTATTGCATAACAATAGTAAGCAAAAGATAGCAAGAACCGTGAGATTGTTTCTCAGAATAAGATGATGCACAAAAATAACAATAGGTATTGAACTGTAAGCCACCCAGAGAAAATTGACAGAAATGGGCAGCTATAGAAATTAAACAAACAGGATTTCACAATTTGCAAATCCTCCTTCATTTATATTACTGCATTTAATATTTGCTTAAAGCAGCCACTTTATTATATTATTTCAGCCAAGTTACTGAGGGAGAACAAAGCAGAACTTGAGATGGTCCACCCATGAAACAGGATATGCCATCTTTTCATAATAGCAGCTAAACACAAAATGTCAGTCAAGTCATTTCCAAACAACAGAAAATTTATGGTACTCGTGTTTCATATTTGCAGAATTATAGATTCTTGTTCTTCATCAAACTGAACATGACGTTTTGTAAGCATAATCATAAAGATGTCTTGTGAACGCATGTATAATATTAACTCAGTGAGGGATTCTACATAATGATTGAGAGATATGAAAAATTCCTAGAATTATAGATCTCTCTTCAATGCAAATCCTTCCATTCAGGGAAGATGCCTCATTGATTTCAGGGATTCCTGCTTCTTCTTACCTTCCCACAATGTACAGATAGTCCTTGACCTACAACCACAATTGAGTCCCAAATTTCTGTTTGTTAAGTGAGTTTGGCCCTATTTTGCAACCTTTCTTCCACAGTTATTAAGTGAATCACTGCAGTTGTTAAGTTGGCAACACAGTTGTTAAATGAACCTGGTTTCCCCATTGACTGTGCTTGTCAGAAGGTCCAAAAAGGGACACTGCAACCGTCATAAATATGAGTCAGTTGCCAAGCGTCTAAATTTTGATTACGTGTCTATGGGAATGCTACTACAACTGTCATAAGTGTGAAAAATGGTCATAAGTCATTTTTTTTAGTGCCGTTGTAACTTCAAATGGTCACTAAATGAACTGCTGTAAGTTGAGGACTACTTGTAATATATTTTATTTAGCAGGTTTTTCAACCCCTTTCTATCGGTTTCTTATTTTTTGAATTCTCTCCCACTGAAAAGAAAGAATCTCTGAAGGAAATTTTTCAAGTAGAATCTATTCATTCTGGGTACTTTAGAAAACTACAGGTAGTCCTTGACTTACAACTATTCATTTAGTAACCAAAGTTACAATAGCATTGAAAAAAGTCACTTATAACCAGTTTTCATACTTATGATCACTGCAGCTTTCCCATGGTCATGTGATCAAAATTTGAGCATTTGATAACTATTGATTGATAACAGTTGCACTGTCCCAGGGTCAAGTGATCACTATTTATAACCTTCCCAGCTGGGTTCTAGCAAGCAAAATCAATGGGGAAACCAGATTTGGAATGGAATGGAATGGAATGGAATGGAATGGAATGGAATAGAATAGAATAGAATAGAATAGAATAGAATAGAATAGAATAGAATAGAATAGAATAGAATAGAATAGAATAGAATAGAATAGAATAGAATAGAATAGAAGTGAAGGGTTGGAAGGGACCTTGGAGGTCTTCTAGTCCAACCCCCTGCTTAGGCAGGAAACCCTATACCAGTGATGGCTAACCTTTTTGCCATTGCATGCCAGGAACGGGGTGGGGGTGGGAGTGGTTCCCACCAGAAGTTGGCAAATGGGCTGTTTTGGGCCTCCGGAGGGTCTCTCGGGGGTGGGGAAGGCCATTTTCACCCTCCCCAGACTCCTAGAAAGGCTCTGGAGGCTGGGGAGAGAGAAAAACGGGCCTTCCCACCACCAAGAGGTCCTCAGGAGGCAGGAAACAGCCTGTTTCCCTACTTCTGGTGGGCCCAGAAGGCCTGAAAATCAGCTGGCGGAGCTGAGTTCACATGTCCACTGATATGGCTACGTGTGCCACCTGTGGCACGCGTGCCATAGGTTCACCATCATGGCCCTATACCATTTCAGACAAATGGTTATCCAATCTTTTCTTAAAAATTTCCAGTGTTGGAGCATTTACAACTTCTGGAGGCAAGTCCTGCCACAGATTAATTGGTCTCATTGTCAGGAAATTTCTCCTTAGTTCTAGGTTGCTTCTCTCCTTGATCAGTTTCCATCCATTGCTTCTTGTCCTGCCTTCAGGTGCTTTGGAGAATAGCTTGACTCCCTCATCTTTGTGGCAGCCCCTGCTTAATGACTGCAAGGTTGACTTACCAACTGCAGTGATTTGCTTAACAACTGTGGCAAAAAGCCCATAACAGAATAATAGGATGAAGCACAGCTCACTTAACTGCCTTGCTTAGCAAAGAAAATTTGGGTCCAAGTGGTGGTCAAGGACTACCGGTAGTGTCTTCACTGTTTCATTTACTACCAGGAGATATTAAGCCCCTCCAGCCCAGGAGATGTTTCATATTAAAATGAAAACAAAATAGTTACCTTTCTAGATTAGCTGGCTTGTCAAATTTAAACAAAATATAATCTCCAGCAACTGGTGTAATAGCCCAAAAAAAGTCTTCACCCATGTAGGCTTTTTCAAGAGCATGCCCTTGATAGACTTTTAATGTTGTAGAAACCTCTGCTGGTGGATTCACATGAATTTTATGCAATAATGGTTTCAAGAAGTCTTTATCCTACAAAAAAATGACAAGATATAATGTTAAGGGTAGAACAACAACAACAACAAAGTATAGAGGTGTAGGGCAATAAATACATTTCCTGTGCTTTTCTAGGTTATTAAATTTTTCTTGATAAAAATCATTTGTGACAATTTTCCATGACACATTTCACTTAGACAAAATTGTAGTGAAAAGCTCCCCTAAGCACTACATCTGGATATTTTGTCCCATAACATATAGGAAAATGTGGGGGAGGGCATGGTGACATGACAGCATCTTCCTACAGCAGGGTTGTGAAACTCACGGCCCATGGGCTGGATGCGTCACACGCTGGCCACACCCACGGCCGCTGTGACACCACAAGTTTGACACCCCTGTCCTACAGACTTTCCTAACTCCTGTTTATAAATTTCCAATTTTTAAGCTTTGTTTACCTTATTTTTGTTTTTAAACTGTTTTCTTTTTCAATCTATGGAATATTATAGTTAGCAATATTTTATTTATTGCATGAGAAACAACCTCCTACACCTGCAGTTAATCCTAGACTTACAACCATTTGGTTATGAATTTGGTTTGAAATTCCAACAGTGATTGAAAACAAATTCTCATACTTACAATCATCACACCACCCTGATGGTCACATGATCACAATGTAGGCGCTTGGCAACAGGGATGCATTTACAACAGCTGCAGCGTCCCGGGGTTAGGTGATCGCCATTTGCAATCTTTCCAGCTGGCTTCCAAGCAGCAAAGTTAAGAGCCAAAGTGGCACAGTGGTTAGAGTGCAGCACTGCAGGCTACTTCAGCTGACTGCTAGCTGCAGTTCAGCAGTTCAAATTTCACCAGCTCAAGGTTGACTCAGCCTTCCATCCTTCTGAGGTGGGTAAAATGAGGACCCAGATTGTTGGGGGCAATATGCTGACTCTGTAAACCACTTAGAGAGGGCTGTAAAAGCACTAGGAAGCGGTATATAACTCTAAGTGCTATTGCTATTGCTAATAGGGGAAGCCATTTGATGATGGCACAATTCGCTTAATAACTGCATTCATAATGAAGGGATTCATTAACAACCATGGCAAAAAGAGTTATAAAATCAGGTGTGACTCACACAGTAACCTCATTGCTTAGGAATGGAAATTCTGGTCCCGGTTGCGGTTGTAAGTCAAGGACTAACTGTACTATCATGAAAGCAATCAAGAGATGGCAAGAAAATAAGCAAAAGAAGGAAGTGACACAGAATAAATTCAGGAGTTTCAGCTCCTTCAAAGCCACAAAAGCAGCCTAACATTTCTGAATATTAAACAACCAAAAGCAAGAAACCATAGACAGGGGAAGACAGGAGACACAAGACAGTTGTCACATAACCTCATTGGAAGCAATTGCTTCTGGCCAAAAGGGAGGCAAAGTGAGGCTTGACTATATTAGTTTCTACCAAATTGAAAATATGCTGCACTGAGTTGAATTCACTTAGGAATATTGCAACATCAACGTTGGTAAAATTTAAACATTGCTCACTTCTGATGATAAATGTATATTTACTCCCCTCAAAAATTCAGGTTGAATGTAAAGAAACTTGGCAATGCTTAAAAAACTACTAATTCAAACTGATGTTAACTTATCCACAAGTAGATTTCAGAGTTAGCCTTAAACCATGAGGTGGGAGGCATATATATTTAATAATAATCATAATCATAGAAGGAGATTTTAATGCAAGATTTGGCCATAATGATTAGGCCCTTTAGTGCCGTGGTGGCACAGTGGTTAGAATGCAGTACTGCAGGCTAATTCTGCTGACTGCCAACTGCCAGCAATTCAGCAGTTCGATTCTCATCAGGTCAAGATTGACTCAGTCTTTCAAGATCAGTAAAATAAGGACCCAGATTGTTGGAGGCAATATGCTGACTCTGTAAACTGCTTAGAGAGGGCTGTAAAGCATTGTGCAGCGATATATAAGTCTAAGTGCTATTGCTATTCAAACCTCATAAATATCCTCCAGAGGTATATTTGCGTCCACTGTTGGACAGCCACCAATCCAAGGTCCAAAATCTAACTTCAAGATTTTTGTCTTGCAAAATGCTTTAGCAACCTCAGTTTACATATCCTAAATGGTGTTGATCCTAGGGACAGACCAGGGGAGTTTACATATTGGTCTGGCCTCAATTTGAGCACAATAGATGATACAGCCCTTGCTTCAGGACTTGTGAATTTCCTAAGAGACCATACAACAGTTAGCACTTCTGACTGTGATCATCTACCAATGATACTGTCTCTTCATTTAGATAAGATAGAACTTTTGATCCCATTGCATGTGGTGCAATGCTCAGGTCAGCATATAAGATGGTCAGCTAGAGTGAGTATGGCATTAGAAGAGCTTCTGAACTCTTCTCACCTAAAAAGGGTAATCTTGAAATAATATCATCTCCCCATCATGACCCATACCCAAGCACTATGAGTCTCTGATTAACACCCACTCTAACAGAATTATAAACTGATCAGTATAAATCAAATCACTGACTTAAGCAAGACTGAGGGGAAGGAAGGGAAGGGAAGGGAAGGGAAGGGAAGGGAAGGGAAGGGAAGGGAAGGGAAGGGAAAGGAAAGGAAAGGAAAGGAAAGGAAAGGAAAGGAAAGGAAAGGAAAGGAAAGGAAAGGAAAGGAAAGGAAAGGAAAGGAAAGGAAAGGAAAGGAAAGGAAAGGAAAGATTTTAGGGATTACTAGATGCAGTCATGTGATCATGATCTAGATGTCTGGCAATCTATTAGCACTTACAGCCAATTGTCAAGTGCCTGCAAGCACAAGAACCACACAAACATACATCCAAGTCTTCCCAACTGAGTTGTGACAAACAGAGTTAATAGACAACAAAGAAGTAAAGTCATGGTCATGTGATGTTTCACTTAACGACTGAATTATACTTAGATTTTGTGGCAATTGTATTTAAAATCAGTATATAGTTAAGAAATATATATTTAAAAATATGTAGTTCTTAATTAAGATTAATGAACAAGTTTCCAAAAATTGGTATATGTATATATTGCTTTCTGTCAGTACTCACTGTGAGTTTTTGAATCTTTCCTTCTAGGGAAGAATGTAGACCCACATGCTGAAAAAGTGAAGGCCTGAACCTTATTCTGAGATTCGATTTCTGGCGATCACAATGTTTCTTTAACAAAATGGTGGAAATATTTTTAGCATAAGACACATCATCATTATACATGACTTAAAAACTGGCTATCTGGGCCATTTATTGCATTCTTACCTTGTTTTTATTTAGCATATTAAAATAACATATTCACACCACTACAAAAATTCAGTCATCAGAACTTTAGTAAGTGATTTTATAGGAAGTAATTAATAGTTTATCATTCATCTCTCACAGCTGCTAGGATTTCTAAATGCCATTTCTGAGAAAAAATATATTGTTCAACTGCAGCTTTTACTTCTGCAACCTATAATGTCACTCTGATTTGAAATGCACTTAATTAAAATAAATAAATTAAAATAAAAAATAAAAATGTTATGCCTAATAATATAATGTATCAGGCATCATTCTTATTGTTATGATTTGATCTGAAAACTATAATTGGACAAATCAATTTGTATTTCTGATTTTAGTATAAACTACTTCTGTCTATTATTTTTTTCTCTTTTCAATAATTTTCTCATATTGATATATATGTGAAATGTGGAAGCGATATATATGATTTGCTTCCACACTTCATTTCTCTTTCATCAGATAAATCATTTCTTTTCAAAGGCCATGAAAAAATTCATTGTAAGACATAGGTTCTAGCTAAGCAAGGTGTACAGCCAACATTTCCACACATGAACACTGAAACCGTTCAAAAACTACTCCTGTTTTCCAAGGCCTCACCACACTGCCTATGTTTGACAGCTGAACATATCTATTTGGGGTTGAAAAGCAGCACACAAAAAAGGACAAATTGTACTATGGCGAAGAAAAAAATAGTATGAATTTAATGGAAGTCCCTAGCAGTTGAGTTCAACATAAGGTCATTTGTATCCCTTATCTGTGCATGCCTCACATTGCAGAAGCAACTCTTTTGCTCTTTGTAGTGGAAAGGTGTTGAATATGCAAGTAGGAGTGAGTCTTACATCAGCCATCACTCATTGGGAGGAGTGTTGAACATGCAAGTAGGAGTGAGTCATACATCAGCCTTCACTCATTGGTTCATTTTCCCCAGTGGGAAAATGAACAAGCACCAATGGCTGACATACTGGACAGCTCCCTGTAAAAGGAGCTGCAGCCTCGGGCAGCCCTCAGTTCGTAGTTATTTTTGTTGTTGTTCCTGTTGCCCGAAATAAATGGTTGTTTTACTTCACTACGATCATCCTGCCTCTCTTTTTGTGTCCGGACTTAATAAAAAGTTCTATAGGGTTTATAAGTAACTCTTTTCCCATTGAAGGGGACTTTTGCTTCATCTCTTCTTCTAGCTTCTGAGTCTGAATTGCTCCCTGGTTCATTTAAAAAAGAATTCTGGCTTGATTTTTGCAGAAATAGAATTGGGAAAACTTCTGCTCCATGTCCCTAACCCCTTGCTACTGCTGCTGACAGGACAGCCCTTTCCTACAAAAGGTCAAGCAAGGGAAGGAACAAGGGAAGCAGTGCATCCCAAGGCTGACAGAGAGAGTTAGGCATAGAAGAATTGTCTGTCCTTCCCTGCTCCTCACAGTTTTTTTTTCTGTTACATCAGGGGTGGGGAACCATGGCCCTTTTATGACTTGTGGACTTCAAAGAATTCTGGGAATTGAAGTCCACAAGTCATAAAAGGACCATCCTTCCCTACCTGAGTTACATAGATCCTGCCCTAGGAAAGGTATTCTATTAATTAGGCATTCTCAACACAGGGTAAACACTTCAACTATTGCAGCTTTCAATCCATAGGCCAGGAAACATGGTGGTAGAAAGGAATCTACATTTGGAAAAAGGGGATGGAATACCTTCACACAAATGCATGTTTATCCCTAAGTAGATTCAGGAAGATTCCCTCCCTCTCCTCCCCCAGCAATCTGTTTGGCCTACCGGACAGCAGGCCATGAGTGTTCAAACTTCAGGCAGGATGTTCTCTGCTGGCCACCTGCAGAAGGCATGCTATCTGCTGGGGCACAGTTGGAGAAGTTGAATTTTTTTGAGGATATAATCCAGTCTTTATAGTACTTGGCCTCTGCAGTGTTTGTATAGTAGGGCTGTGCAAAGGTGTGTTGTTGTTTTTTTGCAAAATACAGTATGCTAGCATAAGTAAAACATTCTCTCTTTGCCTTAGGTCTCCTGCAAAGTTTGGTGTGATTGCTTCAAAATGGTTCATGGTTGTGACTACAGATACTTGCACACAGAGCTGCCTTGTTTTTCTGGCAGTTTCAGAGAATTGCTGTCTGTGTATGCACATACCCACAGCCAAAGACAGTTTTTGAAACTGCCTTGCCAAACCTTCTAGAAAATGTTCTTCTTTAACATTTCAAGACATTCAGTTATATTAATCATGCTTTTCAAAATGCTCCATCCAAAAGTTTTAAAGGTAAAGGTTCCCCTCACACATATGTGCTAGTCATTCCCGACTCTGTGGGGTGGTGCTCATCTCCGTTTCAAAGCCGAAGAGCCAGTGCTGTCCAAAGACGTCTCCGTGGTCATGTGGCCGGCATGACTAAACGCCAAAGGTGCACGGAACACTGTTACCTTCCCACCAAAGGTGGTCCCTATTTTTCTACTTGCATTTTTTACGTGCTTTCGAACTGCTAGGTTGGCAGAAGCTGGGACAAGTAACGGGAGCTCATCCCATTACACGGCACTAGGGATTCGAACCGCTGAACTGCCGACCTTTCGATCGACAAGCTCAGCATCTTAGCCACTGACCCACCACATCCGAAAGCTTTGCACAGCTTCAAATGATTTCTTTCTGGTAATGTCTCAACCATTAATCATATCTTCTTAATCATTTCATAATACACTAAACGTTGTTTATCTACAAGAAACTATAATTTAGAAAAGAGCTATAAAAACTATGACTAGGTTTCTTAACATATTTTCTTACAATCATGTCATATAGGTAGACTTTTCAGAAACATTAAACTCTCAAACCAACTTACTGCATCTTTCTCCGGATTGCATACTTTCACCCAAAGAATGTGATCCAAGAGCCAGTCAATTGGTTTCTCTTTATAAAACATAAGTATGAACTCTACAATGAGTGTAATATCTGGAGACTGGAACATTTTACCTGTAAATAATAATTTACCTGTAAATAACAATGTATCAACAATAATTTAGCACTTTGAGTGATAAATGCAGTGTTCCATTAAAGAGTATGAACCCAAAACTCTGTTGTTTAGAATCTGAACCAGCAAATTACTGCAAGTTGCTCTTTTTATATAATGTAGCACTATCAGTATAAATTTGCACTAGAATAATTTAGGTTAATAGGTTCATTTAGGTAAAAAGAAAGGCTGAAGACACAAGGGCATGGAACTGCTACCTAGATGAACACACTTTCAAACATAAAACTAAAACTAATGTATATTAAATTTCATTTCTCTGTACCTTCTCATTTATTAACAATTAATGCTCTAAACTGTCCCTTTGGAGATCAAAATTTTTAAAAACTGGCATCCATAATTATATTTTCTGTTTTATGCTACATTTTTCTTCCAGAACTAAACATTCTCATGATATGTCTTGCACTCTGATTAAGGCATTCCCTGTTTGTGCAGGGTTTCTCGGGCAAAGGTGGTCTTCCTCAATTCATAGGAACTGTTGCATTCATTTCAGCAGATGTCGAAGCAAAGGTACCTACAGCGATCACTTTTTTGTCAAATGCCACATGCAGCATCATACCACTTTGACAAAACACTCATACAAAAGGGAAAGTTTGCATCACGGTGCAACCCTGCTTTTGTCATTACTCCTTTTTCCCCCTCTACTGAATGGGAGATTAGGCGTTTGTTTCCATTATCAATTTAAAGGAGGCTGTTAGTTGAACATAGTATACCAAATGCTAGAAATTATAATGCCATACTACAGTAGTGAAGAATTAGAGAAGTCACACTCTTTTTTAAAGAAACCCAGTATCTTCAAAAACTTGTATCAGACTAATATTAACATACGAGGAAAGTAGAATCTCTCTTCAAATATGGATTCAGAAGCAAATATTGAATTGCTGGCCTTGATAGAGGCAGAAATAAGACATTAAGAAAGCTTTTAAAACATTGCTTTTCATTTGTCTTAATCTATAAATGAATTTGTTTAGATGACTGAAGTCCATTTAAGGCTTATACTTCAATTTTAAAATTTTTATTTAAGAACTGCAGACATTATAATATTATTCCCTTTTCTATCACATGCGTTTTGTTACATGTTAAATGCTATCTACACATAATCTAGCACGGAAAAATTTACAACTAATATTTTCATATTACAAAATGAACTGTAAAGTTGTTTTTGTATGTGGGATGGGGGTTGTTAAACTACTTTCCCAGATTTTACAGCGCTTTTCTATCCTTCCCTTTTAAAAATTATGTAAGGGATTTTTTTTTCTTACCAATGAACCCCAGCTGAGAGAATTCTAGAATCATCCAGTCTTCTGATGACAACTGAAGTGCAAAATTTTTTATTGTGCTGAAATAATTCTGCTTGACAACGATGTCATCCTCAAGCTAAGGGAGCCAAGCACAAGCAAGTAAGTAAGCAAGCAAGCAAAATAGAAGAAATTAAATGAGGAATGAAGTTGTATGGGGGTGGCACTAAACTAAGCAGATTTCAGGTTCAAACATACATTAAATCCAGCTATCATTGGGCCTTTTCCTACTGATGACTTGAAATGTTCTCTGCCCATCCCTGAACCAGCAGAAACCTATCCTGATAAGAAATTTGCTATCCTTACTGCTAATGCTTATTCTGTCTCTGTAGCTTCTGCTTCAAACCAGTATAATCACCTGAATTTCTTCCAGGGAAAAAGCAGACAAGGATTGCCCTTGGAGAGTATAATAATAAGAGGGAAATACTTCTTTAACACAAATACTGTTATGGCTGTCTCACTATTAGGCTGCGGGTGTGATGAAGGAAATATCATGTGACCTATCAGAGGAAACATCATAAAGATATTCCTCGATTTACAACAGTTTATTTAGTAACCGTTTGAAGTTACAATGATGCTGAAAAAAAGAGATTATTTTTCACACTTACAACACTGCAGCATCTCTGTAGTCATGTAATCAAAATTCAGATGCTTGGCAACTGATTCATATTTCTGACAGTTGCAATTATGTGATCCCCTTTTGTGGGGATTCCCTTTTCTCACCAGCAACGTCCATGGGAAAATCAGATTTACTTAACAACTGGGTTACTAAATTAACAACTGCAATGATTCACTTAGCAATTGTGACAAGAAAAGTCATAAGATGGGGAAAATTCACTTAACATATGTTTCAGTTAGCAACAGAAATGTTGGGTTCAATTGTGGTCCTAAGTCGAGCACTATCTGGATTTATAAGGAGGGGCCCTTTCTTCCACAGGTAGTTTCTCTATTATTTATGGCTGCCCATCCCAAATCCATGATTCTGGGCAGTTAACAGCAATTAAAAACATCATATAACAAACACAACAATATTGGACTGCCATCTGTCAGAAATGGTGTAGTGTCTCCTCCTTGGGCGGAGGGTTGGGCTAGATGACCTACAAGGTCACTTCCAACTCTGTTATTCTGATATATGCAACCAGGGTAAACAACCAAAACACTAACAAACAAATCAACCCAACCACGTTGCAGGCTTTGTCCCCAGGCTCATTGCTACAAAAGCCTTAGCAAACCTTACATTAAAAAGAAGTAGCAGCCTTGTCATAATTTAGGCTGCAATGCTATAGAGACTTCGAAAGAAAATGAATTAAGTCCTGCTACACTAAATGAGACTTAATTTTAAGGAGGTATGCAAAGGTTGATACTCTTTATCCATGTATTTAATCAGAAAGGAAAACAGAGCAGGATGTGCCAAGTATCTGTCTTGGCAGCTCAACTGTAATAATACATCTGTGGTTATTACTCAGTCTTGGGCTGGCACTTTATAAGAAGGGTTGGCCTGTCTCTCTCTTCATGGTAAACAAATATATCTCCTTCCTTCCCTGGTCCCATTCTGAAACATTCTCAAAATCTATTTTACAAAGTTGGGGAATACTCTTGAGCAAAATCTGGGAAGAATGGAACGTGGCCTAGAGCACCGAATTATGGTATAATTTACTCCCTGCCCCCTCCCCAATTATAAAAGCAAAATGCAGGAAAAAGAAAGAATTTAAAAAATATATTCTTAGTCTTTGGGAATACTGAACTCTGTGTGTGTGTGTGTGTGTGTGTGTGTATGAAAAAGAGTGCTGAGAACACAACAATTAATCATTATCATTTAATATATTTCTTAAAAGATGTCATTTATGCTGATAGAAGAAATCTAAAAAACAGTAATGTTTATCTAATAAATGATACATTTATTTTTTATTATTAAATTTAAATTTTGTTTCTGAATTAATTTTGTGTCAGTGCAGTTTCCCACACTTTAGAATCTGCTATCAATCTAAGAATATTATGCTTTGATTTTTCAGTATTTCAGAATGACCATTATTAATAATTAAAACTGATTTTTTTAAAGTAGCACTTTTTAAAATGTAGAAAACATACCAATACCACTGCATGGTTCACTTTAAAAGATTGTTGCGATGCTTACCATTGCATCAAAAACAAAATAATAAATATATGTTTATCTCCAGCACAATTTGAAAAAATTGAGATGGATGTCATATAATTTTAATACATTATGATGCTATTTAGGAATTTCTTCTATACAATTTCTTGATAACTTGATGAAATTGTTTTAAAAGAATTTTCACATAAGGCATTCCACTGAGATTCATGAAATTCAATGGCCAAATATTGTTTCAATAATACAGCCTTTAAGGTTTTTAATGGGGGTGTCTCTAGGTAAAATATAGGATTGCGGAACTGCAAATTAACATCAGCCGTTGTAATTAACTTACTAAAGAAACTATGACCAAGATAGACTTCTATGTCTTAAACCCCAAAACATCCGTTCCCCACAGCAAAATATTTTCCAGTGATGCTCAGTGATGTTTGATATATATCAAACTCTCAAGACAACTCTGATAACACAATAAAATTTATAATCTATCTCAAAAGCAAAACAAAAAACCATGTGCATGTCATCCTCCAATTTTCTAAAAGCCAAAACAACAAGCTGCTAATGGTAATGACAACACCCTAAATTATCCCTGGCAACAATTCTCACTTCACAGAAGATACTCAAGTAGTGCCAAACACTCACACACAATTCATCTCCAAAAATGCACCTACTGTTGGATGCACCATTCCATTCTACAAAACTGTTTCTTTCACATTGCAGAATAAGGGCTGGATCACTTCATGTCCTATATTCACAAAAGGTTTAAAGGTGGAAGAACCAAAGGCCACTTCCTTTGGGACTCTCCATGATCATTAGTATGGTTTCCAATGGCTCTGGAAGGCTTGTGCCTTTTGATATTTAGGCAGATATATAAATCTAAATTATTGCCTGTCATTTGTGTCCTCCTGTCTCTATTCTTTTGCCAACCTTTTGTCCCTTTCTGCCAATTTTTTAAATATTTGCTGATGTTTAATAAAGGTTACTCTTGTTAGCTGAACTGAGTTGATGTGTGTACTTGCTCTCATCTCAATAGAGAGATTGACTGGGAAGTCTGATGGGTGAAAACTAAGCTGGAAATGACCCACAGAAATTTCCACATCCAAATGCTCAGCAACATGAACAAACTTCTCCACCCAACCGTAAACATGATGTAGAATCCTATTCAGAAGCCAATCATTATTTTAAGAGAAACTTTTTTTTAAATTTCCTTCCTTCTTTTTAAAATGAGTCAGAACATAGGAAAGGAAAGTGCTGATTCCCAGAATGTTGTTCTGTTCCACTCCTCTCCTCAGATGTTTTTAAGCCTGGGTGAACTCAAAGGTATTCTGGACCAAAAAAAAAGGAAAAAAACCTATGGAGAATCTTGCTTTCTCATTTATGTGCCCAGGGACATCTGCAGACTTAGACCAAAGGCACCAATATAATACAATCTTGTGGGACCAGATCATTAATTTTTTTTTTTTTATAATGAGACTGCTTGCACATCTTTAAAAAAATCTCAGAGAGGGAATACTAAAAGCTGTGATGGAGTAGTCTTTTTTTTCTCCATGCAATTCTGTGCTTTACATACAAACTACGCCCACTCCTCATTTAACAACCATGTTCCATTCCAACAACTAGATCATTAAGCAAAAGAGAGAGAAAGAGAGAAGCTATGAAGATCACTGATTAATACCATGTCATTCAGAAAAGATTCTTGTACAGCTACAACAGTGTCACTCTTACTCAGTGTGCCACTAATGTCATGTGTACAAAATTTTGAATAAAAGTGAGCACATTGGTCAGGAAATTAATATTTTTATTACTGTTGTATTTGCAAATGGTTGCTAACCAACGTAGTCACTAAACAAGGGGTGTTTACATGTCTGGGCCAGCTTTACAGTTATGTAACACTTTGGATTCAAAGACAAATGAGAGCATACAAAAAGAGATGCTTGTTGCACTTTAACTATACCAATCTGTGTCTTTTTCCAGGGCAAAATTAGTATTGCTTAATTACTAATTAGATGCTTTGAGGCTAAAAATCTAAACATGTGTAACTCTCTGCCTATGGCCTTATTGCACACTGATGCCTGGTAGGCTGAACCAAATTTACAAAATGCAACTTTGACAATAACAGATGCTAATTAAGTTAAAAAATACTGCATGTACTTCATGTTTAAGAATCCTACAAGCTTTTTAAAATTTCAAATAATCATGAAAAGGCAGTTTTAATTTTAAATTGAAATTTTAAATTCCACTGCAAAACAAACATTTAAATCCTCCACTATTTTTCATTATTTTATTGATTTCACACACACACACACACACACACACATTTTTGTAAAATAATATATTATAAATAATTGGTATTATGATAAATAAATTTTATTAGGTTTAAAGGACCATTTGATAAATAGTTGTGTTATGGAATACTCACTATGCCATGTTCACTATTACACATTTTAAAAATATTTTGAATATTCACTTTTACATTCAAAATATAAAAACAATTTACCTGAATGTAGTATACACCTTTTTTCTGTGCATACATCATAAGAAAACAGTAATCCAGATTTTGCTTTGTCCTCCATCTAAAATTAAATATTTAATGTTATTGACTTTGCATGTGAGCAGGCAGACAAAACATAAGCTTGAAACATAAACATGGCTTTTAGTTATTATTATTTTAATAATGAATGAACACAAGTAATCTCTCTGTTTCCGTCCCACACCCCGACTGATTCCCAAATATCACCATCCACCACTTCACTGGAACCTCTGAAGAGGCCCATCACAGGAAGTCTAACAGAGGACAAAAGCTCCTTTTCAATGTCCTTTCCTTATGCAGTTTCCTACATTCTTTTGGACTTGAAAATCTGCTCTGCTGCATTGGGGGACTCTCCACCCAATTTCTTCTGTGACAAGTTGTTCCCTACCCTCCTTCCTTTTGCATAGGAATCTTTATTGGCCTTCAGTTTCCTTTGTTAGATATGTTCGAGGATCGTGCCCAATAACTCCATAGACAAATTCTTAGTGTATCAAGTATTGTTTATTAATTAAGCATCTTATCGTTACAGGTACAAGTCTGGAACTGAGGCAGGACCGCATGGCCGACCCTTAAGTACCCCTGGGGCGTGGCTAAGGTAAGGAGGGGTCATTGGGTTAGGGTGGACCTTGGGGGTTGGCTTGCCCAGCCCCCCTGCTTCTGGATCTGGATCAGAGGCAAGGCATTTATTCATGACAAAACCCCCTCTAAATGCCTGGCCGAGATATTTTTCTATGTTATGTACTTGAGTTGCTTTTTTCAAGATGACTCCTAATTTTGATGTGAGATATGTGTGCTGTTTATTTTGTAACGGCTTTGTTAGGATGTCTGCTGTTTGTTCTTCCGTGTCACAATGTATGACCTCCACAAAACCTATATTCACGAACTGCCTGACATGTTTGTATTTTATGTCAATATGCCTCGACCTTTGACCCACTGCTTCAGCCTTAGATATTTCCATGGCGGCTTTATTGTCCTCGTGCATGATGATGGGGTAGCTTGGCTCGGCCCATATGTCAGCGAGCAGGTCATCAAACCAGACCAGGTTGTTGGCGGCTTTAGACAAGCAGATATATTCAGCCTCCGTGGTGGATGTGGCTACCAAGTCTTGCTTGCCTGTGTACCAGTGAACTGGGCTGTCGTTTAGGAAAAATATGTAACCCGAAGTGCTTTTCCTGCACTTCACGTCTCCAGCCCAGTCAGCGTCAGCATAGCACGTGAGTGTGGGTGCTTTGGTGTTCTTGGGTTCTAATGACAGGCAGGCCTCGGAAGTTTGCTTTAAATACCTTAATACCCTTTTGATGGCCTCCCAGTGGTACACGGTGGGCTTACCCACGTGTCTTGACAGCAAATTGACTGGCAATGCGATGTCTGGCCTGGTCCAGTTTGCAATGTACAGTAGGGAGCCTATGGTGGATCTATATAAAGTGTTGTCCTTGAACGCTTCAGCCTCATTATACATGTCCTTCAAGAAGTCTGGCTGCATTGGCGTTTCACACCCCTTGGCGTTTGTCATGCTGCATTTGTGTATTAGTTCTAAAATTTTATCCTTCTGTGACAGCTGAAAACCCTTGTCGGTCTTCGCGATCTGTACCCCCAGGTATTTGTCTACCTTGCCCAATATTTTTAGTGTAAAATGTTTCCCCAGTTCATTGGCGAAGTTATTGCATTTGCTGGCTTGATCACCGATATACAATATATCGTCTACGTATATCAAAACATACTCGGGGGAGTTGCCTGACTTCTTGGTGAAGAAGCAGTTGTCGGCTGAGGTGGCTGAGAACCCCATGGATTTCAATGTCTTGGATAGGCACTCATACCAGCGTTTCCCTGACTGTTTGAGTCCATACAAGCTCCGGTTTAAAATCCAGGTTTCCCCCTTTTTGGTGCTTTGGCTGGGTGGCGCTCTCACGTATATCTCTTTGTCGAGCTCAGCGTGCAGGTAAGCTGTTTGCACGTCGAATTGGTGCACCTCCAGCCCCAGCAGTGATGCGACCACCAGTGCACATTTCACGCTCTCAGCCCTGACTGTGGGGGAGTACGTTTCCGTGTAGTCATCAGGGTATTTCTGGGCGAATCCCTGGGCCACCAACCTTGCTTTGTAGAGCACTTTGTTTCCCTCTAGGGTCTTAATCTTATAGACCCACCTAGTGCCTATGGTTGTCTTTCCTGTTGGAACTTTAGAGGGAGTGTATACATTTAGTTCCTTCAAGCTGTCCATTTCCCTTTCCATGGCTTGCTCCCATTTCTCTCTCTCCTCATTTGGTAACCCCAGTACGTCCTCATATGTGTTGGGGGTTAGTTGGTTATTATGTAGAGATAATATGTAGTCCCCTAACCTTTCTGGCCTTTTGCCCCTGTTTGTCCTGACTGGTCTGTCAGGAGGTGTCTCTGTGTCATGCATGTACCTAGCTTCCCTCTCGGTGAGTGCGTCTACTTTAATGAGCGGGTGGTTTTCCTTCCATCCCTTCACTGGTATTTCCTGTCCTCTGGGTTTGTTCTTTCTGTGTTCAGTGTCACTCTCTGCTTGGTGTTTCATTTCCTTTTGATCATCCCCTGGTCCGTCCTTGTTAAGGGACACCTCGTTGAGGTGTATTTTGGACCAGTTAGCGTTTTCGTGGAAAACAGCTGTTCGTGATATCACGAAATTGTTGCTGCTGTCTATGAACCTGTATCCTTTTGTTCCCGGTTCATAGCCCATGAACCTCAACCTCCTGGATACCCTGTCCCCCTTACGCCTGAGTTGCTTGGGTATGTGCACATCTGCAGTGACCCCGAATATGTGTAAGTGTGACACTTGTGGTTTCCTTTGGTACATTAATTCATATGGGGTTTTATTTAGTACGCTGGACCACAGTCTATTTAGGGTATAATTCGAATAAATGAGTGCTTCGGACCAGAAATGCTGCCCTAGGCCGGCATCGTCTAGTGCGCACCTCACCATGGTCTGTAGCGTTCCGTTTTTTCGTTCCGCCACGCCATTTTGAAAAGCGGAAAAAGGAGAAGTCGTGTAGTGGACCATCCCGCGTGCTTTTAACCATCGCGAGAAGTCGCTTGATAAGAATTCAGACCCCCGGTCTGTCATTATTTGCCTGATTTTGGTGTTGTGTTGTGTCTCCACCCTCGCATAGAATTCCTTAAATTTTTGAAAAACTTCATTTTTGTGTTTTAGAGTGTACACGAAGCCATAGCGGCTGAAGTCATCCACTATGGTCAGGAAGTACCTCTTCCTGTACTTAATGGAAGGCCTTAGTGGTCCCACTAGATCCATATGTACAAGTTGGAAAACCGAATTAGTTGTGCGTACTGACTTCTTGGGCCTTGGTTTGGTTTTTAATTTGGAGCCCTTACAAATAGAACACTCGAGATAGTTCTCACAATCCTTTATTTTTACACCTTCAGAGCATTCCAACATTTTCTGTACTACGGGGAAACTAATGTGTCCTAGTTTCCTGTGTAATAGGTGGGCACAGTTGTCATGCATTGGTTTCCCTATCATTGGTTTCTCCTTCCTGGGTGTCCCCTGTTCATTGGGCTCATCGGTGGTGTGTGTGTGCTCAACCCCCTCTACCTCCTTGCTTGCGTTGCCTGTGTTATTGGAGTTAACCCCTCGGTGGTTGTTCACTTCTGGCTGTGTGCTCTTGGTTGGGTGGAAGAATGGTAGTTCCCCACTGACTACTACTTTCCCTATCCCTTTACCCCCTCTGGTCACCTGTGCCTTTCCTTCTTTGAAAGTCACCTCGACATTGTTATCCTTGCTTAGTTTTAGGGTGGCAAGGATATTATATGGTATATTTGGTACTAGGAGTACTCCCCGTACCATACCTATTCCTGGTACGTATGCATTACCTTTGCCTGTTACTTGTACGTTATTCTGGTTAGCCACTTTCACTACAAAACTTTCCCCTGTGAAAGAGGTTAGTAGGTTGCGATCATGTGTGGTGTGGTTTGTGGCTCCTGAGTCCAGCAGCCATGTGCCTTCCTCCCTGTCTTGGCCTACGTGTTGTGCTTGATCCCCTATGCCGTATAGTGATCCAGTGTGACTCTCCCTGGAACTGTCCCTGTGGTCTCTCCTGTCTCTAGGGCTAGGTGAATCCCTACGCCTGTGCCTGACCTCTGGCGAGCGTCCGCTAGTGTGTCTTGTCCTTTGTTCTGGTCTATCTCTCCTATGTATCCCGTCCCCTGTATTTTTAGGGCAGTCCCTCTTGTAATGGTTTCTTGACCCACATATATAGCACTCTGTGTTGCTCTGGCTCCTGCTCTGTGGCTCAATCTTTCTGCTGGGTCTTTGCTCCCTGCGGCTTAGGGAGCGTTCCCTTCTAATGCAATCCTCTGATATTAGTTTACTTGTTAGTAATTCAAGTGAGAGCCTCCCTGTCCCTAGATTGTCTATCTGTGTAACAAAGGTGTCCCAACTGGGATCTAGGGAATTTACTATGATACTTATCATGGTCCTCTCGCTTATGACCTCCCCCCTTTGTGTCAGCTGGGCCCTAGTATTATTTAGTGATAGTAAATGCTCGCTCATGGGTGTCCCTGCCTTGAGTTTAGTGGCATAAAACTCCCTAGACAGCCTGGTGGTGCTGGCAACGCTTTGGCAGTAAAACAGTTTGTGCATTCTCTGTATTATCTCTAATGCAGTCAGGTGGTGGCCAATACTGGGGTAAATGCTGGGTGTAATGCTGGCAATGACAATACAGTAAGCTTTGTGATGGATGCAATCCAATTCAAAAGTCCAGGGTTTTTCTGGGGGGTCTGTAACCATGGATAGCAGGTCTTCCTTAAGCAGAGTGCCCTGGAGCTGCTGATTCCAGTCCAGGAAATTCTCCCCATCTAGCCTCAGTTTTGGAAAATCACTGGGTAAAGTCCCTGAATTGTAAGTTAAATTACTCACATTATGTCGCTGTCCATGGTTCCTCACATAAGGATACTCGCAATATGGCAGAGGAACGACTGTGGCAAGTCTGAACTGACTTGTATCTACGTGTCTGCGTCGGTGTAGCTCTATGTTCTGTTCCGTTTTTCTTACAGGGGCGTGCTGCGCATGCGTGAGGTTCATTTCTCCCCAGTCGTCGTGGAGTGAGGAGCTCGTCCATGCTGCTCCCGGATGAAGGCCCCAATCTTCCGGATGGGCCTTCAGCTCCTCTCCGGTTGGCCTTGCCTGCTCGGGATCGTCGCGGATCGTCGCCTGGAGCCTCGGAAAGCGGTGAGGATCGCCGGTGGACGTTGGGAGTCCCGTTGGGGCCGCGAATGGTCCCGGTTGGCCCGGTCTCGCGCGGATGTCGCCTGCGGGTGCCGGGCCGATCCCCCTGCCCGCCGATGGACGTCCTCTGCCTGCGGATGGCCTCGCGATCCACGGGTCTGGTCCCGGTCGTCGGTCTGGTGAGTAGTCCCATCGCCCTTGGCTTCCGGCTTTAGTGGGTGGACCTCTTAGGGGCTCTGGGTGGTACTGGGTCCACGCGATGGTGGCATCCTTCCCAGGGTGGGTGCCGGTGCCGGCCCTCGTCGCGTTGGGGTCCCTTTTATTTTTCGGCCTGGCGCCGGGATGTACGGCCGGTATTTTTACCTTGTCCCCTAGGGCCGCGGCGATTAGTTCGATGGCCTTGTTGACTTCGGGCTCGGTTGGCGAGCTTGTAGGTTTGGTTTTTGGGCCTTTGTGTTTTTTGTAGTATTTTTGGTCGGTAGTTTTAGAGTAGGCCCCGATTCCCGCCATAGGATTTAAATCCTGAGAGTCTATTGGTGGATGGTCGGCCATCTTTGATGACGCCGTCTCCCAAGATGGCCGCCGTGAAAAGGGCGCGAAGTCTCCTTCGGCCTTTGCGGTAAGTTTTTGGTGGGGGAAATCTTCCCTTACCGGGTCTCCTTCGCTGTAGTCGGATTCGTCTTCATCTTCCTCACTCGCTGCTTCGGAGTCTTTGATCAGGCTTCGGAGTTCCGCGATGAGGCCGCTGTTGCTTTGCGACGAATCTATCAGTTCGAGGAGTTTTCCTTTTAGGTCGTGCATCTCTTCCTTTGAGGTTTCGTGTTTCGTCCACTCCTCGTTGCTCCTGGCCGGGGTGGATGGGTGGTGGAGTAGGCCGCTCGTCTCGGGTGCCTCTCCTTGCGTGGTTTCGGGTTGGGCAGATCGTCCTGCCATCTTCTTGGTGAATGCTCTGGTATTCACCCTGTCTGTTGTGGTCCCTTGCATGTCGTGGAGTATCAGGATTGGGCTATCCAACCATCCTCTGCTACCATTTTGTTAGATATGTTCGAGGATCGTGCCCAATAACTCCATAGACAAATTCTTAGTGTATCAAGTATTGTTTATTAATTAAGCATCTTATCGTTACAGGTACAAGTCTGGAACTGAGGCAGGACCGCATGGCCGACCCTTAAGTACCCCTGGGGCGTGGCTAAGGTAAGGAGGGGTCATTGGGTTAGGGTGGACCTTGGGGGTTGGCTTGCCCAGCCCCCCTGCTTCTGGATCTGGATCAGAGGCAAGGCATTTATTCATGACATCCTTTGCCAGTGGAAGGGAAAGTTTGGATGATGTCCTTCAAAAATCTTGCAGATCCTGTTCAAGGTTTTCCTGTGTCATATTTACTTTGGTTTGATGTGTATCTAATATCACAAAAAAATACTCCCATGTTCTAATTGGAAGCACCTTGGTTCTGCCCCAAGTCCTAGCAGACATTACCAAAGAAACATGGACTTCTAGTGCTAGGATTGCAGCAACAATAGCCATTATAGAATGTTTTTCTAGCCATTATTTAATCCAAACTATATTTCCGCTTTATCTGCTTTGTCACCAAATACCACAGTAGCAGCTCAAAAAAGTTCCAAATCCGATGACATAAACACAGTGCCAAACTAAGCATTTGCGGATCAAAAGAAGGCTACAACAGCAAAATTGACATTATTATGAGAAAGCTAAAAGATAAGATTTAGATTGGAAAAACCCTTTCCTCAAGACTCATGTCTGAGGTCATGTTTAAAAATGAATATTCCTGAAGAATACTGTAATAGTAAGAGTAGTAAGAATAATGGAAGCTGTCTTTCCTCAAATGCTGTATATGGGCAGTTTCACATTCTATAACCAACATGGCCAATGGCTGAGGACTGTGAAAACTATAGTTCCTGCATATCTAAAGGGCACCAAATTAGGAAAGATCGGGATACAAAACATGCAATAGAATTTGCAGCCTGATTCTGGGCCTAGTTTACCCTGTATTCTCAAATGCAATATTTAAGTTAAGAGTATCTTAGACTATCTACTATCTCTGTTAAGATCTAGTAGTTTCACACCTGCAAGAAAAAAAGTCCTTACCTGACTCTTTCTTTTGAATCTCCAAATGTCTCTTTTAGATTTTTCATGTCTGGATAGTAAAACGCAGGAGGAGCTATTATTTCCACTAAACCAGAACGAATTTCTGTAGAAAACCTGGGGTCAGAAAAGTCAGCTTTGTTATTTTATATTTAAGGATGCTTTACTTCAGACATCAGTGATCAATTTGGACTTGGGTTCAATTTTTTATTCAGCTGTGAAACAAAATGTAAGGCACTGAGCAAGTTAATAAATTGGAGGCCAACTGCTGATTTCAACCTACATGTAAAACTATAGTTTTGTCAGGGGTGAAATGCTCCCGGTTCGGACCGGATCGCCCGATCCGGTAGCAATGGCGCCGGTGGTTCGGAGAACCGGTAGCAAAAATCCCTGCGCATCCCCCCCCATGCCCAGCTGAGCCACGCAATCATCAGAGGCTGTTTTTTTTTACTTTTAAAAGCATTTTTTCTACAACCTTTTCGGCTGAAAAAATGCTTTTAAAAGTTAAAAAAAAGCCTCTGATGATCGCACGGCTCAGCTGGTATCATCAGAGCCTTTTAAAAGCATTTTTTTTCCTGCAACCTCTTCGGCCAAGGAGGTTGTAGAAAAAAAATGCTTTTAAAAGCCTCTAACAATCCCAGCTGAGTTGCCCGATTGTCAGAGGCTTTTAAAATGCTTTTAAAAGTTAAAAAAAAAAAGTTGGCCACGCCCACCCAGTCACATTACCCCCCCCCCACCAAGCCACATCCACAGAACCAGTAGTAACAAATTTTACATTTCACCACTGAGTTTTGTCACCTGGGGCCACACTAGACTGAAGAGGCTTCTGTGTTCACCAAGCCTTTGATAGTTTCTGAGGTTGAAAATTCTACATCTATAAAATCAATGCAGCATATTGTCTCAAACTACTTGCAATTATCAATGGAAGAGTTTACAAAGGTAAATATGTATTTTACAGAACCAACCAATATTAACTTCTTAAGCACCTAGATAGTCTTTTTTATATTTTACCACTACCATAAAAACTTTAATGTAGGTATGCAATATTTATTTCATGTGGATGTATCCATTTCACGCCTGCCTGGATCTTATATTGTAATGCTATTTGCTGTTTTAGAAGGAAAGTTATCTCAATGTTCAATGTAGCTATTTAAGCAATGGTGGGATTCAGCCAGTTCAAACTAGTGCAGCCGAACCGATAGTTAACTTTTTGCAGTTTGGTGAACCGGCTGATCCCACCACTGGCGGGCCCCACCCCTTGCTCCTCCCCTCAAAGTCACTCCTTGTCTGGCCTGAGAAGGTAAGGGCGATGGCGGGAGAGGGAGACTCGCTCTGGGCGGGGCTGAAAATCTCCACCATAGAGGGTGCTACAAGAAGTGGTGCAAGGAGTCGCACAGCCCTCACTGGTCAGAGTGAGGTAATGGCACTGTTGCAGCAAGGTGGAGCAGCACAGGTGGCCGAAACAGCGGTGGTGATGGCCGGAGCCTTAGTGCAGGAGTGAAGTGTGCCTGTACTTGCCTTTGCGCAGCAACAGCACTCCATTTTCATCACAGTACATTTGCGCTCAAGGCAGCCCTGGCTTCCCACTGCTTCAGGCTCAGAGCTGTAAGCCACGTCCAGGAAGCCCCGTGGCAGAGAGAAGCAGCTGGGTCTGATTTTCTGGTGCCTCATCTCTTGCTGGGTCTTGCTGCCTGACAGTCAGGGTTTTTAAAAAGATTTTTGCAGCCGGAAACGGCGAGTGGCTACTTCCGGCCTTTGTTAGTGCAGCTGGGCATGCCTCAGTCACTCAGGGAGACACACGACCTGCTCTCCATCCCAAGACACTGGCCTGACGCGTTCGCCACCATGGCCGCCTCATACCCTGCCCGCTGGCCCAACCCACGCCACTACCACTGCCACTGCTGTTGTTGCCTTATGGCTGAAGTGGCCTGCCCGCTGCTTTCACAGCGCCTTGCACAGCACAGTGAAATTTAGCACACTTCACAAAGGGGAGTTGGGGTCCCTCCTCCTCCTCCTGGAGCCCATTACGATGCAGAGCCACAATGCAACCCTGCCCCACTCGCCCCTGGCAACAGCAGCGGTGGCGGGGGTCAGAGGGCAAGCCATGAGGCGGTGGCAGTGAACACAGCAGGCCAGTGTCTCAGGGCAGAGAGCAGGTCGGGTGTCTCCCCGAGCAAAAGAGGCATGCATGCCCAGCTGCACCAACAAAGGCCAGAAGTAGTCACCTGCAGTTTCCTGCTGAGTGACGTTGAGTTGGCCATGCCCACTCAGTCACATGACACAGCCCCCAGCCACACCTATCTAGGCGGTCATTAGGGAGAACTGGTTGTTAAATTACTTGAATCGTATCATTGCATTTAACTGTAATGTATTGTGTATTGATATAATGTATTACACAAACCTATTTAGAAATGTCACTTTTGGACTCTAAACTGTGTACTAAAAAGTGGATAATCCAAAATATTTCAGTGGTTACTTATATAAATGAAACTTACTCTTTTTCAAGGTTTGCCACAACACCATTTACATACTCAAGTTCTGTCTAGAAAAAAAAAAGGAAAACAATGTATTTATACATAGTATGGATAATTGGTTTGACAACTGCATAGTTTGTATACCCAGTTTTGTTCTTCAAGTAGGCTAACATGACATCAACATCCCAAATGTATTCATTCATTAACAAATGCCATACAAAAAGATTGTTTTCTTGTCACAGATAATAGCCAGCAGAACATTCAGTTAAATTCAATTTTAGCATGCTAAATTTAAGCATGTTTACTTTTAATTAAGCAATTCCAGTGTTAGAGCCATGAGGTCAAACAGACCTGAATGGTAATATAATACCTATGCTTTGCCTCTATTGTGAATGACACAGCTATTTAAAGCAGTTTTTGTTGGCAAAATCAAAAGCAGGATAGTTGGGAAATGATTTTTTCCTCTGATTCGTATGTTTGATTGAGAAAAGCAGCAGTTTAAATATAGGTCCTTTATTCACAAATACACAATAGGCACATATATTTTGGGCATGGTACCTGAATCTGAACCCAGAAAAGCATTGAAAAAAGAGCAGGACCTCTCCACATGCACAATCTCTGCTACTTCAAGTTCTGAATTGTCCTTCCCCATGATATCTGCTTACTTTGATTATGAGATGGCTTATCTCTGGCCCCATTCTGCAACTGCAGCAAACTGGAGTCGGGAATGGGAATTGCAATGATAGAACTTACGGGTGATCTATGTTGTTACTGCCCAATTGTGCCTCCCAATTTCTACACACAAGCAAAGTATCCACTGCATTTTAACTATGTTAAGAACTGAGGTGGCCCAATTAAAATCCTTCTAATTAGCTTTGTAACCTCTCTAAAAAAAATCAGCACAGCATGATTTCTTTGGCATACATAAGTAGCATATCATTGCCTCATCCAATTCCAGTGTCTGGGTTCAGGATAACCATTCCTTTCTCCACTATCATGTACACCCAGAAGTTCTACACTGCAATATTGCTTAGCGCATTGTAAGCCGCCCTGAGTCTCCGGAGAAGGGCAGCATATAAATCAAATTTTAAAAAAAAATCAGGAATCATGGCTCGAACCTCTGTGAAAAATACCATTTCTCAATCTTGGCAACTTTATGATGCATGAATGTCAACTCCCAGAATTCCACAGCCAGCAAACTGGAATTCTGAGAATTGAAGTCCATGAATCTTTAAGTAGATAAGGTTGAGAAAAACTATAGCATCAGACTGTAATAATGGCATTAAGTGATCTTTTCAGCATCTCAGCTAGCTTAGATTTTTAAAAAGAAACAGAAAGATAGCTCTCCCTTCTCACAAAATTGGCTAACATGCATGGAGCATATACTGAAAATATAAATAGGGGAACCGATGGTTGTTTATTTCTTTTTCTATTGCATGGAGTAGAGCAATGGAGTTTTGTAGTCTATGATGTCAGCAGTGGATGAAATAGGATACCTTTTCAGAACCATCCTTTGAACTTCGGGGTAATTTCAGGGAGAACTATTCGGTGATTGTATATTCTGCTTGTTCTCAATGTTTCAAGGGCAGCAGAAGTAAAAATGGTAGAAAAATCAACTTTGGATTGATTTGTAAGAGTTCAGGGGCACAAAAATGATGAAAATTATGCCAGGCGGATATGATCTTAGTTATATATATCCTATAAAACTTTTATCTACTCCAACTGAAATATATCTCTCCATATACAGAAACTGGCTTAATTAAAAGAGAGTTTTGAAAACCAATAATCTAATGTATTTGGTCTAAGGCAGTGTTTCTCAACCTTAGTGACTTCTGAAGTCCATATTTCTTAAAGTATGGACTTCAATTCTCAGCATTCCCCAGCCTGTGTTGAGAAACACTGTTCTAAAGAATTCATAAACAGCAAATGTTTTAGTCCACAACTCATTTGATATAATTTTGGTTTCTTGGACCAGCCAGAAAAGTTATGGAGCAACAACTCCATAAGTTTCCATAAAAGGGATGAACTAGATCCAGAAAAAAGCAGACAGAAATGAATTTTCCTTCCCCTTCTCTCCCAGCCAAAACCCAAACCTCATCAAAATGTTGTTTCAGAAACACAAAGGACAAAGGGAAAAAACACTTTAGAAGTAGACACAGGATTGCTGGCCTCTTAATCTTACACATGTAGAACTCTGACCTTTTTTATATGTAGTTCAGAAGCAGACTGTACAAGCTACATAATTCCTGAATTAAGTTCAATGCTGCTCCAGGCTCAATGCCATAATAGCTTCCAATATTAAACAAACAGAAATTATTATAACAGTCCAGACTTGTTTTTGCTTAAGTGACTGCCTTTAGCAAACAAAATTTTCCCTTAACAGTAAAACACTCAACAGTGCTCATTTTGTGCAATTCAAGTCCGTTCACAAAGAAGCACATGCATATTTTAATGAAATTTGCTTCAGCAATTTCCCTTATGACAGTTACGACTCTCTACCTTGTCAATTCATTCCATACCAAAAAGCAATAAATTTATGTAGTTTGTCTAGAATTCACCTGGTGGCCATTAAAAGCCTTACTGTATACTTCAACAACAGAAACAGATCTGAGGTTGTTTTCAATTTTTGAATGAACTCCCACAAATCTTATGCCTCAAAGAGCTGCACCTAATGAAGATTTGATACTAATGGCCTATTATCTCAATTATTTCAAGCACATCTCCTCTGCAATATGCAGCTGCAAAGAAAACATTAGTTTTGTTTGGATACCATACAAAAAGAGACAGTTCTTAGGATATGATCTGTGTACTCTTATCTGTGAAACAAGGCCCTTTGAACTAACTGGATTACTTTACTTTCTATAGTCTAAACCCATGATGGCGAACCTATGGCATGCGTTGCCATATCAGTGGGCACGCCAGCTGAGCTCTGGTGCGCATGCGCGCGCTGGCCAGTTGATTTTCGGGCCTTTTGGGCCCACCAGAAGTAGGGAAACAGGCTGTTTCCTGCCTCTGGAGGGGCTGGGTGGGGGGAGGCCCATTTTTCTTTCTTACCTGGCTCCAGATTCTCTCTATGCATCTGCGGAGGGCGAAAACAGCCTTTCCCACTCCCTTGGAGGCCCTGCAAAGGTCTGAAACGGTCCATTTCCCAACTCCCGGTGGGACAGGAAGTGACGTTTTTTGCTGTCCCCAGCCTCCAGAGACTCCTAGAGAGGCTGGGGAACAGCAAAAAATGTCACTTCTGGTCCCACTGCGAGTTGGGAAATGGGCCGTTTCAGGCCTTTGGAGGGCCTCCGACGGAGTGAGAAAGGTTGTTTTCGCCCTTCCCAGATAAATAGAGAGGATCTGGAACCAGGTAAGAAAGAAAAACAGACCTACCAGGCCATCGCGTGCCAGGAGCAGAGGGGAGGGGAGGGGGGGTTGCGCGCTCATGCGCAGGGCAGGGCGCATAGAATTATCGGTGTGGGCACGCATGCACATGACCCACCCCCGCCCCCCCTCTCCTGGCACGTGATGGCAAAAAGGTTAGCCATCACTGGTCTAAACTGATGAGTGTTTAGTATAATGCTATCGATGAGTCTGTCATATCCATTGTATGTAAAATGGAAACAAGAGTTTTTCTATCTGGTTCAGATAATCCAAGATCTACAGGGAAAATCTTAATCTGCTTTCTACCAAGCCCCCTACCCAACCTCACATTACATCTAAGAGATAAACCTTAAAACAGACTGAAAATATATCTTCTAATTTTGAATTTTATAAAAAAAAGTTTAATATTTACAGGAAGCCATAGGGTGAAGCTTTGAGGTGAGGTATCATCAGTATACTGATGATACACAGCTTTATTGTCACTCCCACTCCAATTAAACCCCACTCCAATTAAAAACTCTGAGGCAAGCATTTCTCAAAGTTCCATTTATTTGAGTGGGCATACTGGCACATCTGGGAAAATCCAAATCTGAGAGTCCCGGGTTTTCCCTCAGTAAATCAAAACCCTAAATCCAACCCCTGCACCCATCAGTCCGTCACATGGCCCAATCACCATCTGTCCCAACCTGAGCCATCACTGCAACCACTCCCCCTCCAGTTGCATAAACACCATGACCTTGACAGAAGGGAAGAATGCTATTATGTCTAACTACAATCATTCTACTGAATCCCCCCCTCCTACTTTCCCAAGCACAAGAAGTTGGCAGCATGGAAGCTTCTGGTGTTAATATGGCTTCCAAAGCTGACTTTTACATCTCCACTTGGTGTTATGATGCTATGTAGAGTCTCTCTCAGTGCCTGGAAGTAATGGGGCTCAGGATGGGGCTCAATAGGCTTCAGATACAGAGGGAAGGCCAAGTGGCTTTGTGTTTTTGGACTTCTGGTTTGGGGAACCTTCCATCTTTGTTTCTGGGTGAATGGCACAGTGCACATAGACCTCGTGCACAATCTGGAGGTCCTCCTGGATTCACAGATTCTGCTCAAAGAGGTGGGGTATCTATTTAAAGTAGACATTGGTATTTACCTTTAAATTTTTTCATGGCTTGAGTCTGGACTACTTATGGGACCATCCCTCACCAATTGTTTCTACTTATCCCTCCAAGTCTGGCAGGAGGGGCATGCTAAGGAGTGTCAGCTGGTAGAGTTCAGGAAGAGCTCCATTTATGTTGTGGCAATCATCCTTAGTTCTCTGCAAATTGCTTCTGGGCTTTCTGCCAACCATAGTAAAATTAAGATTATTTATTCTTTGTATTCTTGTAGGCTGTTAAGAAAGTTAATTAACAGCCTTTGTTTGGAAAAAAACTGTTTAATTTAGTAAACTAAGGTTTGTACAGACTTAGTGTGTGCTGCATTCTTTGGGGTCTGTAGCTGGGGCAGAACAGTGGACGCCATTCCACCTGAGATTAGGTTATACCCTGACCTTGCTGGCCTTTATCAAGACCCTAAAAACTTGGGTCTTGTGCTGGGACGTGGGACCTCTGAAGTGTGATAGAGCCCATCTCTTGGTTTTGTTGACAGTTATTTTATGATGCCCATCTGCTACAGTATGCGTTTAATTTTAAACATGTATTTTGTTTTTTATCTATTTCATTGTAAGCATCCCAGAGTAATGTATGAGAAATAGACAGCTATATAAATTAAATAAACAATATTTGAATTACCTCTCCTATGAATACAATCATAACACAATCCAATTTTTCTTCAGGTGACAGCTTATCAATCAGCGAGTGAAGAGTTTCAGTAAGGTAAGATTTTACTTTTCTCTTGACAGTTGGAATACCCATTACTATAGAAACTAAAAACAAATAGATAAATCAGTTTCCTTGAACACAAAAGAAATGACTTATTTTGCAGTTTTTAAATATACTATTGATTGCCTTTTAGGTTATTCTGCTTTGTTTTCTGCACTATTAATATGCAGCCCCAAGCAATTCCACTAGGTATTCTGAAAACAGGTTGCATAAAAAGAGCACTTAAAAATGATACTTTCATGAAGAAGTAGCAGTTAATACCTCAATGCTTTAGTCTTTCCTTGGCCAGAGAAAATAATATTCTTCAAGAGCATGAAGCTGGAATTTTACTGCTAGGTCCTCAAATTTTAAATTATGAGCATCCCAAAAAAGCATTTATAAGAGCTACAGTCTCTGCAGATATCTCCTTTGCTACTTCTACAATGCCCCATCTGACTTCCTCAGAAATTTAAATTAGAAAAACAATTAAAACAGGTGGCATGGCAAAAAATATAGTCAGAAGAACATGAGGTAAGTGAGGAGCATCCTTCATGTTTATGTGACAGCATGAAGCATCCTCATAAATTTACAGTTTTTTTGGAGCTAGCCTTGTCCTCCATGACAACCATTTTGTAAGAGTACTTAGTGTTCTCATAATATTCCAAATATGTGCAATGCTTTGCAAAGGTAGAGACAGAGGTGCAGATGCATGTTTGAGTTGTAAACCTTTAGCCATATGTGGCCCCAGAACTCCACCAAAAATTATCACGGTTTTGTCCATTTTAATGTGTTAAAAGGAGAGAAAAATTAAATTAAAACAAGATCAGTTTTGTCCCAATGTTCATTTTCTGTATGTCCTTCAAGACCAAGTGCAATTCTCACACTAGAAAAGGTTGGCCATTTCTGTTTTACACAATCCATTATCAGTTAAACAATTAAAAATCATTAGTATCACAATCCCATTTATTCTTCACATCATCTAATTAAAAGTTATCCTTCCTCCCACAATTCATAATTCAGGGAAAGCAGCATGCTTTGAAACAACAGTTAGGGACAGATTGTCAGGAAGAATATCTATTTGGTTGCTAGCAGTCAATAATGACTTGATGGCACATAATCAAGCTTTCACACTTATCAGTGCATGCTGAAATTTGTAACAATTGGCCGGCTTAGTACCCATGCTCCATGTGAAATTCTTTGCATGGCAAATGTAGAAAATTATACAGAATGTGTAAGAGATTAGGCAGAAGTTGGTGGTCTGAAATTACCCAGGATTTGTTGACTTTTCTTTATATACTTTTCTTCCTAGAAAGTGCATTTAAATGTTTAAATGCAAGATTAAATCTAAAATCTATAAAATATAAGATTCCATAAAATAAAAACATATTTTAGTATAAAACATTTAGATCCAAATTTCACTGGGTGTGACAATGATTTTTGTAACGCCCAGTCTACTAGAGAAAGATTTTAAAATTAACTTGTTATCCAATAAGCACATGAGAAACATAGATATTTTAGTCTACCTTTAATACAGTCTGCATGCATACACAAAGATTGCTATAAATCTTAATGAGCAACCTTGTGTCTTTCATGCCTAACATGCATTAGAACAAAGAAAACTTGTTTCCTCAAAAGAGTGTAAAGCCTGCAAAATGCAGTTTCTCACTAAAGCTGATTGCTCTATAAAAAAATAAGCCATCCAAAATTAGATAAGGAAAACATCACACCCAGTGTACAAAATTGGTAGTATAAGCATAACAACTCAATATCATACTGACAAAACAAGGTTGTGCAGAATGGGCACAACTCCAGTTTCCCTCTCTGAAACAATGTCACCTAATAGGACCTAGGAAATGGGCATATTCTATTCCTGCCCCTGAATTTTGGAATGAGTTCCCCCTGATGTTCAAATGGCCACAAACTGTGAACACCTGGCTTTTTATCTATGTAGGTGGTGGATAAGCTTATCTGTGATGCTTGCATATGTTTTCATAGCCATCTCAATTGTGTGTTGATTATATCTTTGGTTTTTGGGGGTGTGGGGTTTTTTTGGTTGATTTTTATATTTATTTTTACTGTTGATGTTTTCACAACACCCAGAATCCTGAGTTGTTGGAAGGGATGGCCTTATAAATCTTTTAAATTCTGGTAGTCGTTAATTAATGACTACCATTGGGACCAGCAACTGCATGGTTGTACAAAATTGCAACTATGTTTATGATCTTATTTCAGCCAGGTCACTAAACAAGGATTACATGTAAATATATAAACATTATATATGGGTAAATACTGCCTTGCAAATTTCTAAAATTCTAATCAAGAGCCATAATTTTTCTCAGGCACATTATTTGTTTAGGATTATAAATTCTGTACAGAAAATATACATTTACTATGATAATCTGAAGTCTAATATAATGTGCATGTTTTCCTACAATATGTCTAATGCCCATTCTAATTATTCTAGAGTCATTTGAACACGTTATTTAAAGAAAGACAAATCAATACCTGAATAAGATGATGAACAGAGTAAATATGACATTTTAAAGCTACCGACTGTTGAAATAGTTGTGAAAAGTCAAAAAGATAAACTAATCCAATTATTTATTTTACTTTTAAAGTTTTATAAAAGCTGCACAGCATCCATATTTGCTAAATTATGATCTCAAAATGTCATGCACTGTTGTTGTTTTTAATTAAGGCAAATACATGCTGTTTCAAATCCATTGTTTCTCTTATACCTTAGCATCAAAACAGCAGGATCTGTATAAAACAATAAGCAAAAAGGTTGAAAACAAACTTTTTAAAAAAAGTAATTCAATTTGAAATCTAAGAGATAACACAACAAAGAAAATAAAATTTCATTTTCTGCTTCTCAGAAGTCATGCTGACTCTAGCTACAACAGAATTTTAAGTATATCTTTAAGCGCATCACACTATCACTCGTATCGATTTTGCTAGTTTACCTCCTGTTCGTCCGAGACCAACATGTACAGAGGGTCGAAGGCTTCCTTCATTTTTCAACAAATGAGGCAAGTGGTAATATATATTTGGCACTTGAAGAGATTTTCTGCTTGTCAGTTCATTTAACAACTTTAATGTTTCATCTGAAAGCAAACACAAGGGTTACATTTGCATAAGAGTCATGGATATATTCATTTCTGGCACTCTGAAAAAGGTGCATCTTTTCCTAGGTTCAGGTAATAGCAACAAGTCGCAGGAAAATATGCACTTGAGTTAGGGAAGTTGCAACATGATCTTTATATACTCTTCAAACCTCTTTAATGTCAATGAATATTTAAGTGAATATCTTTCTGGGACTATGCATCCAGGCAAACTCAGGAAAAGGGACATCTTTTTAAAGGAGCAGCTGACAGGTGGCAGCAAGCACACCACATCCTTTTCAGAGCATGGTTTCCTTTTAACATCCAGTTAACCAAAACAGTGCATCGTAGGGCAACAATTTTTAATCAAAGTACTTCAAATCCTCTAACTCAAAGAATGCATAGAAAATCCAGGACCCCTTATTCCCACGTACCGTATTTTTTGGACTATAAAACGCACTTTTTTGTCTCCCAAAAAGGAGTGAAAATGTCTGTGCGTCTTATAGATTGAATATTGCCGAAGCCCTGCCCACCCGCCAGCCTTTTTTTTGCCTCCCATGCCCCATTTCTGGGCCTTTTTTCAGCCCGTTTTCAGCCTTTTGGGGGGCTTTTTTCGGCCCGTTTTGAGGCTTTTTTTGCCAATTTTTTTTGGAAAAAATGACCTGAAAAAAGCCTTGAAAACAGGCCAAAAAAAAAAAAGCAAAAATTTGGGCCCAAAAAAGGCTGGAAAAGGCCTGAAAAAAAGGCCTGAAAATGGGGCCTGCGGAGGTCAAAAACGTTTTTTTGATAATTTCCTCTTCTAAGTTTAGGTGCATCTTATAGTCAGATACGTCTTATAGTCCGAAAAATACAGTAATTGAAATTTCAAAGATCTTCACACACCAGTTTTATTTGCCAAATTATGCTACTAGAGTGCCGCTGTGGTCAGCTGCTGTCACAAGATTTTGATTTCTGACATTCCCTGCCAGCTTCCCACAAGCAATGCCAATAGGGAAGCTGGCAGGAAGTTGGAAGTTACTCTCACTTACACTACTTTTCTTTCTGCCCCCCCCCCGATCATTCTATTTATCTCCTTAGGTAAGTAAACACTGACAAACGAAGACCCAACCGGTCATAAATTGTATAATCCAGGGGTGAAATTCTCCCGGTTTGGACTGGATCGCCCAATCTGGTAGTGATGGCGGCGGGTGGTTTGGAGAACCGGTAGCAAAAATCCCTGTGTCCCCCCCATGCCCAGCTGAGCCACGCAATCATCAGAGGCTTTTTTTATTTATTTTTAAAAGCATTTTTACAACCTCTTCGGCCAAAAAAAATGCTTTTAAAAGTAAAAAAAAAAAGCCTCTGATGATCGTGTGGCTCAGCTGGGATCATCAGAGGCTTTTAAAAGCATTTTTAACAACCTCTTCGGCCGAAGAGATATTGTAGAAAAAATGTTTTTAAAAGAAAAAAAAGCCTCTGGGTCTCTGGGTTTCTGGAGGTCATACCTCTCAAGATTTTCTGGTTGGAAAGGGAAAAACAAATGTATGAGATCTGAATTAAGCCTATCAGCAATACTACCTTCTTTAAATGCATCTCTGTTACTCTGATCATCAAGTAAATAAGTCACAGATCTCCCTTATTTACGTATAGATGGAGAAGGAAGCAGAGAGCACAGTAAAAAACAGGTATGTATGTGTGTATGACTGGGAGAAGAGTCTGAATAGGTTTAGTGAATACATGCTTAACATTAATGTTTACTAAATTTCATGACAGAACCAACAACTCTCAAAAGAAAGGCAATAGTAATAAAGAGAAGTAATAAATAAAACTAGTATTTTCTGTTCAATTGCATATGAAAGCAAGAAATAATAACGTAAGAGAGGTTTTGTATTTTATGACTTATGGAAAGCAGGAGAGACCTAGTGAGAATAGCAAGCCCAATAATCTTCAAATTCATCAATCTGTACCTGAAACGCTGCTTAATGCATCCTTACTTCCATTTGTTTCTGCTACTGCCTGTCTGAACTGCTCCAAGATGGTATTTAATTCAGAAGAACGTTGCAAGGTTCTATGTTCAGCTATGCGAAGGCGTTCCTTCAAAGCATGAAACTCTCTTTGATAAGCAATGAGCTTTTCTAGGAATAAAAAAGTTCAAGTTACTTTCTGTCAAAAATAAAATAAAATTTCCTAACACAAATCAAAGTCCAACTTTGGCTGTTTCTGCACAATTGATTGCCATTCATTGTTACAGAATGAACTGTCACAATGCTTATTCTACAGAGGGTTTTTTTAATTGAATTCCATTAATCAAAAGAAATGTCACAAGGTTCTAAAACTTAATATAAAATGTTGAAACAATTTTGATGTTTGAGTCTAAATCATATCAATAAAAGACTTACAATTATATTTTACCAAAAGAAATGTTATAAATTATTACTTTGCTTAAAATATTGAATATATATATTTACTAATTGGAAAGTCATCCACCTTTTTATTTAATAGATAGCATATTTTTTGTGTAATATATTTTGGGAAATTACTATTAAGACAATAAAATGGGCTTTAAAAGCATAGACGGCTTAGTGATTGTGCTGATATTAATATTTATTCAAGCATTTGTTACGCAACCTATTTTCATTTCATCAGTTTAGCTGTTATTATTTTTCCTATGCAAAGACAATTTAGAATTCAAAATCTCCTAAACATTTTTCAGTGTCTTTTAAGTGTGGCCACGATTACCATCTTTGGAAGGTCCAATACTGAATAAGCTTTCCAGAGTTCCTCCAAATGAACAATGGAGGGGAGTAAGATAAAAATTGTCACTACCCAATCTAGGTGTCATTACAGATAGTAATCAATTTACGTCTACAATAGAATCCATAATTTCCAAATTTCCAAAACAAACGTGAGATATTTGTTAAGTGAGTTTTGTCCTATTTTTCAACTTTTCTGTTGTTAACAGTTGTTAAGTGAATCAATGCAGTTGATAAATTGGTAACCTGATTATTAAGTGAATCTGGCTTCCCCATTGACTTTGCTTGTGAAAAAGTCAAAAAGGTGGCCCCATGACCTTGGGACACAGCAAAGGTCATAATTATGAACTAGCTAACAAGCTTCTGAATTTTGATTGCATGATCATGGGATTCAAAGGTCATAACTGTGAAAAATGGTCATAAATCACTTTTTTCAGTGCCACTGTAATTTTGAACGGTTACTAAAAGAATTGTTGTGAACTGTAAACAATTTGTTAAATCGTGCTGAATTGCTCAGTTAGGAGAAACAAGAGTTAAACTTCCATGGAACAGGACAAAGCAATAATTACTGCTGGTCAGGAACTTTATAGTTCTATTATTAACCTCCATTCTTTTCTCTTCCACCTCAAACAAGTTGGAAGTTAAGTGACTCAACAGAAGAGCTCCTGGAAGGCTCTGAAATAATGAGAACACAAAGGGTGAAGCACCAATTTCGGAAGCTCTAAATAACATAAATAATACTTCCCTTTTCAACACAAATCATTTTAATGGACACAAAGGAGACTCATACCTACTAAAAACAACTCATAGGTAATTAAATATAATACTTTAATGGAAAGGAACAGGATAGTGATTTGCAAATAGGTAACATCCAGCTCTTAAATAATTGCCTCTTATATTTTTTTTAAAAAAAAGGAAGGACAGCTTACTTAAGAACATCCAGGCAGAAAAACCAAATGTTTCATCTTCAGTCATCCTCAGTATGAATATCTCCTGAATCCCATGATTTATTCAAAAACATAATTAGTACAATTATATAGTTCAGTTAGAGTATTTTACTTTGAATCCTGCACGTTTATCACTTCCTCTTTTTTTGTGGCAAACTCTGTTTCACAATAAGCTGCTTTTAATAGAGCAAGATTTAATTTACTTGTTTTTCAAGACTAGTACAACGTTTATCACATATGGGGTTTTAAACAGAATGATCCAAAGCACCTTCTTATTTTCCTAGAGCTGAACCAAACTGGATTTCATTCAACTCTTTTTGAACACTGAAGTCTATTCATATAACTGAGTTCCCAGTTCTCGGGGCTAAGAGCTATCACACTTTCACTCCAATATCATGAAAGTTGAAGAGGAGAATCACATATGCTTGCTTGGCAGAAAAGCATGATAGCTATACAGTATGTGTAACGCATGTTTAATTATTGTTTCAATCAAGAGCATGCAACAAAATACATAAATGTGAGACAGTTCTTATGAAAAAATTATATGGAATAAAGCAAATTGTATTCAATAAATCCCAAACATTTTTTGCAGAATCCCTAGTTTGTAAGACATAAATTAGAACTGCATAACAAGTTTTTCATCTACTATTGTATCAGTAAGTTTTCATACTTCTCTCTTCATATATTTCACAGTTCTCTGTTCATATATTAAATCAACACAAAAAGAATACCAGACATTGCTATTCTGGGAATTGGAAGACTCCTTTGTGAAGATAACATTGTACATAGCAACAATATTGGGTTGCTATCTACTATGTACAACGTTAAAATCATTTTTGTTTTTCAAATTGTCCTGCTTTTGTCATTAGGAACACTAGGAATTCTATATATATAGTTTATAATTCTGTATCAAACTGATCTACTGCTAACTGAAATTCTAGAAAATTTTGATAGTATACATCTTCTTTCCTCGAAGCATAGTTATGAAAATAAAAGCCACCTATGGAATAACATTTTGATTCCAACTATGGACAATACAAGTAATCCTTGGTTAATAACTAGTCACTTAACCAGTCGCTTTACAATGGACCTCAAATTAGTTACTTAAAACCTACCCTTGAATTTATGACTGCTGCCCCACCCCCACCCCACAGTCACATGATTGCATTTTGGGCACAAAAATAATCATAAAATTGAGTCAGGTCATAATGATTGCAATAACCTATGACCAAAATTTGTGATTGTTAAATGGGGACGGTCACTTACTTAATAGAGAATACAGATAGACCATATACCTTGGGATTTTTTTTTTCTCTGTGAACCAGTGGTGGGTTCCTCCCAGTTCGGTCGAGCCGGCAGTGGTGACGATATGACGTCACCGAACCGGTTCTCCTCCCCGCCCTCCCACCTCCCCACCCCACCCCACGTTATTCTTACCTTTTATTTGGTCCCACCCCCAATCTATTGCTGCCTCCTGAGTCCCAGCTGATGACTAGAGGGGAAAAAACTGTTTAAACTCTTGCCGCGGGGCTTCAAAGGGCCGTCCTACAGCTGATCAGTGTTAAAAGCAAACAAATGAGTCGGGTCGTAAGTGCGAGGACTGGTCGTAAGTGCGAGGACCTTCCAGAAATGACTCTGACCAGCTAGCCACGCCCACCTAGTCACATGACCTCCAAGCCACGCCCACAGAACCGGTAGTAAAAAAATTTAGAACCCACCCCATTGAACATTCTGTATTTTGCTTCTTTTACACATACTGTATGTATTTTTAGAGAAACATTAAAACAAATTGGGAAAAGCAGTAGATAACAGTGAAGAGATTGACCTGGTCAAAATCCTTTGAATTGCTTTAGGAACTATAAGAACAGTTATTGTACTTGTGCATTGTCTGTACAGGAATTGCTTTGAAGGTAGACCTAGACAGTTATTTTTATACACATCATTTTTCAAACTATTTATATTAACGGTATAGGTTTGGTCATATCTGGTCTTACTGTATACTATTTAGTCCCCAAATGCACAATGTTGCTACAAGGTAATCAGTTGATCACTCTTCTTCTTCTTTACTTCTTTTACAGCTTCTTGCTCTTCTGATGCCTCAACCATTAACTACCAAATTAACTGCTCACTTGCATATTTTTATTATACATGCAAAATATTATACTGTCTAAATACAGTAGGTTTTCATTGTGAAACCACTCCAGTCTGCTTTCACAGACTGTCAGCTGCATGCCAGGCAGACAGCAGACGTTTGCAATCAACATGAAAATTCAGTATGCAGCAAAAGATAGGCTCTCTCGAACTCCTCCCCTTTCTTTAGAGAGAAGATTTTGGTCCTTTTAAAATAAGTTAGCTGAGGTTATCTTCAGGTACCGAGTCTATGTAAAATTGAGAAATAACAACTGCTTTCTTAAACCTCTAAGATTATAATATGCAAAAATCTGGAAAATCCAGGGAAGCAGACAAGAAACATTGGTGGCAGTAATGGTTTATTTAGCAATGTTATGACAGATTGCTTTTTATTTTGAAATATATATGCCATTTAAATCAGAGGTGGTATTCAGCAGGTTCTGATCAGTTCTGGAGAACCAGTAGCAGAAATTTTGAGTAGTTCGGAAAAATACCACTTCTGACTGGCCCCATCTATTCTCTGCCTCCCGAGTCCCAGCTGATCTGGAGGAAATGGGGATTTTGCAGTAACCTTCCCCTGGAGTGGGGAGGGAATAGAGATTTTACAGTATCCTTCCCCTGCCACGCCCACCAAACCACACCCACCAAGCCATGTCCAGAGAACTGGTAGTAAAAATTTTTGAATCCCAGCACTGATTTAAATGTTATTGTCTCTAGAATCCACTGATTGTATGTAAAATCAGTCTTTTTATGCAACTTGGATCCTTTTTGCACCTGACTGTCTCTTAATAGGAGCATGCCATCTTATCTTGTGGTTCACTTAGAGTGTTATCTTCGTGTATATTTTACTGGTGTTTCTTTTAGGATAAGGTTTGAGGAGCTCTGTAATTTTATGTTTTCCACCACTGATAGCTTTGCTTGTAACTACTTGCAGTTAAAAAAGAATTTCTATATTCTTTTTTTCTCTCTTTAAAATGTAAAGTTTGATTCCATTTCTCTCTTTTGAGCTCCACAGAGATTTCCCTAACCTTGGATTCCAATACTATAAATCCAAATAAATTATTTCCTCTTCCCGCTCCCATGTCAGTAAGATAGATAGGATGTAGAGGCCTTATTTGTCTCACAGAATGTAGTAAATATGGCAGTAGGTACTGTAAGGCACCTCCTGGAAGACAGTAGCAGCAGACCTACCAAGCCATTACACCAAGGTAGGATGCAAAGTGTTTAAACTTTGAGGGTTTGTAGGGCTTCTGGGAGAGAAGATACTTAAAACCACCAACACTTCACCCCACAGGCTTAGTCATG